TCGCGCGCAGCATTCCCAGGAGCTGTGTTTTCGCTGGGGTTCTTTTCAAAACGCTGCTCTCGCTGAAGCGCTGCTCTCATTTTCAGGCTACCGCTCATTCCGAATCGTGCTTCCGTTGCAGCGCTGGCCTCAGTTTCGCGCTCCCGCTCGTCCCGAATCGTGCTCCCGCTGCAGCGCTGGCGCCATTGTTTCCAGCGCCATGCCACCGCATGGTTTTTGGGCCTTTTAAAGAAACTCTAAATTCTAGAACATGCCCTCCGATCAAATCATCGGAAGTGATCACACAGTCGGTGTCGATTCGTTGATTTTTTGGGCCGCAGAGCCCCCCCGCTTCGGGGCGTCGCCACGTCATGCTATGTCATGTTGCGCGATGATCTTCAAACCATGCGATGCCATGTAATGCTATGCCATGTTGCGACATCCGAATGTGCGAATAGAGAGGGGATCTACGCCATGGGAAGGGATGGGAGGGAGAGGTAGGTGCCCAGGTCTTAGAGTCTTGGGGTTGTCTCGAGCGAGACGTTTGCGTTCACGCCTCCAGGTTGCCCAGGCAGATGTCTAGCTCCAGGATTTGTTGAGGATGTCTCGAGCGGTACGTTTGTTTTCACGCGTCCAGGTCGTCCTGGCACGTCCCCTGGCGCGTCCCTTGGGACGTTCCGCGGCGTGTCCCCCTGGCATGTCCCCCTGCCAGATAGTTCTGGGGCAGCTACTATGTTCTCAGGCAGCTCGAGCTTAAGATCCAGATCAGTTCGGTCAGGACTCGGATGCAAAGGAGGACTGGATCCACAACGCTATAGGGCACAATCGCGGCATGGCACATCGCAGTTCAGCACGGCGCAGCGCAGCACAGCCCTGGGCACGGTACATCAAGACCGACGCATTCCGTATTGCAATTTGGAACGTTCTTTGGCGAGTCCCCCTGGCACGTCGCGCGGCGCGTCCCCTGGCACGTCCCGTAGCACGTCCATTGGCACGTTCCGTGGCGCGTCCCCGTGGCACGTCCCGCGGTGCGTCCCCATGGCACGTCCCTTGGCACGTCCCCTGGGACGTTCCGCGGCGCGTCCCCCAGGCATGTCCCACTGTCAATTAGCTATGGGGCAGCTATTATGTACTCAGGCAGCTCGAGCTTAAGATCCATATCAGTTCGGTCAGGACTCGGATGCAAAGGAGGACTGGATCCACAACGCTATAGGGCACAATCGCGGCATGGCACATCGCAATTCAGCACGGCGCACCACAGTACAGCCTTTGGCACGGTACATCAAGATCGGTGCATTCAGCCTTGCAATTTGGCGCGTTCCGTGGCGAGTCCCCCTGGCACGTCGCGCGGCGCGTCCCCTGGCACGTCCCGTAGCACGTCCATTGGCACGTTCCGTAGCGCGTCCCCGTGGCACGTCCCGCGGTGCGTCCCCATGGCACGTCCCCTGGCACGTCCCTTCGCGCGTCGCTTGGGACGTTCCGCGGCGCGTCCCCCTGGCATGTCCCCCTGTCAGTTAGCTCTGAGGCAGCGACTAGTTATGTGCTCAGGCAGCTCGAGCTTAAGATCCAGATCAGTTCGGTCAGGACTCGGATGCACAGGAGAACTTGATCCACAACGCTATAGAGCACAATCGCGACATGGCACATCGCAATTCAGCAGGGCGCAGCACAGCACAGCACAGCCTTTGGCACGGTACATCAAGATGGATTCACTCAGCCTTGCAAGTACCCGTCGCTCAATCAGGTGTCTTGAAAACCTGGCCATGTCTTGCATTTCTACCGTCTCCTTCAGGATCCGTGGGTCGATCGTTTTTTTCTGGGAGCCGCGGCGGGGCCGGCCCTGGGAGCCGTGGCGGGGCCGGCCCTGTAGGGGCGGTTCCCGTGGCCCTCGCCCCGGTGCGTCGGTCTCCCCAGGTGGTGGCGCCACCGCCTGGGGGAGGGGCCCCCTCCGTCGGGCGGCCCCGTGGGCGCGCCGTGCTGTGGGTGCAGTGGCCTCGGGGCTGCTTTCAGGTCGGGTGGACTGCGTGTGGGCAGTGGCCCGCGCGCGTTTCTTGCGCGGAGGGGTGCCTGGCATCGCTCGGACGTGTGCATTTTTCCTTTGGCGAGGGCCATCGAGGAGCATCCTTGATCATTTGGCGAAAAAGCCACGCACGAAACCGGCAAAAAACACAGGGAATGGACGTCCGAGCGATGGCGAGCGGTGGCGGCGGCAGCGGGCGGTGGCCCGAGTGGACTCGTCCCCGGCGTGTCGCCGTGTAAGAAGGGGTCGCCCTCTCCCGCTCGCCCTCGTAGTGAGCCGGGCGTCCTGAGCCGGAGCGGCTCAAGTTAAACATAATCCGGGGACGAGGTTTCGTGTTTCATTTGACCACGTTTGAGTCTGAGTTGGATCATGTTTTAGTTTTCGTCCAAAACCCGTCTGTGGGAGTACATGCCCAACCTAAAACAAAGTGTGTTTTATTCCTCGGAGAAGAGGCGTTTCATTCTGAGCGGCACCCCCGCTGTGGGTTTCGGGGTCGGCCCCGCGGGACCATCCTGAGCCTTACTCTCTCCGCTCCTGCCTTCCCTCCTTTTTTCCGAGGAACGATGAGAGGATCAAGTTTGCATCCCGCCGGCGAGCAATGGCAGCCAGCACGACGGCCCAGACGGTGATCCTGGACATCAAGACGCCTGGTGTGATCGCTAATATTTCGAGCAGGAGATCGGCTACAACATTAATTTACCTCAAGATTGAGTTCCTCGTAGAATCTACAAAATCGACGAATCTGAGTAGATCTACGGACCTTTATATATATGTGCTGCCGTACAGTCTACGAAAGCAGTTGTGGTGTTCGTCAATTCTGAATCACGACGACGACCCGCACGGCCATCCCCGCCAACAAAACGGCATGGTGATCGGTAATCATTTGGTTGCGGTCGCAGCCGACCTCTCGGCCCCTGTGCCTACATGAGCCCTCTCTGCAGCAATCTGGCTCGAGAGGCGCTGCGGTGACGCTCGCGCTCATCGCGCGGAGAGGAGTGGCAAGCAAGATGACGGCGTCGGCGAGATGATCTGCGAGAGGGGCCCAGGCAACGGCCGAACAGTGTCCACGCTGCTGAGACACAGTTGTGGCGCCGGGGCCGGCCTTCTGCCTTTGGGGGCCGCGGCGCCGAGAGGGTCGCGGTGCTCGGTGGGGCTTCGAGAGCGCGCTTCTGAATGCCCAGGGTCTGTTGGGGATTCCGTTCCAAGGTGCGTTTCAAGATGTCCTGCACACTTCACTATCTTGCATTGTTCCGCGCGGGCTCTCATCCTGAGCCGATCGCATCAATGCGCGATTCTCGTTCTAGGGCGGACACCCGTGAGGCGGCGAAAGCGAACCTCTGAATTAACGAACCTCTGCATTCTCCAGGCCTGACGGCGAAGAGGAGGAGGAGGAGGAGGAGGAGGAGGAGGAGGAGGACAACGACGACCTCGACGCTAGTACATTATTTGTGCTCGCGCGTGCGCCGTTCGTTCGATTCCTCAGCACGAGCGCCCAGTCGCGGCGATAGTCTCGATCAACGTTGGCCCAAGTGAAGCGACGACGACGACGGCGGCGGCGGCGGCCACGGCCATCTTCGGTGTCCCCGCCGCCGCCCGCAGGGGCCTAGCCTTCAGGCTGGGCCGACCTCCTCCGCATCGGCGGCCACTGGCGGCCACGCTGGCGGCCACGGCCACGGCGGCCGGAGCTGCCACGGCCACGGCGGCGGCGGCGGCGGCGGCGGCGAGGGCGGCGGCGGCGACGGCGACCGAGGCGGCGCCGAACGAGGGTCCGGCGGCGGGGGCGGCGGGGGGCCAGGGCCGCGCCCCGGCACGCCCCCGGCAGGCGCGGCAGCGCCAGGAGGGGGCCGCGGGCCCGCCGCCCATGCCGCTGAGGCCGCCGCGCCCGCGCCGACGGCGGCGGCGGCGACGGCCACGACGGCGGCGGTGACGACGGCCACTCGACGGCCACGACGACGAACCCAGTCGACGGCGACGGGCGCTCGACGACGACGACCGCTCGACGGCCGCGACGACGAACCCAGTCGACGGCCACGGCCACGGCCACGACGGCCGCGACGGCGCCGACGACGATGGCGCCGACCACGGCGGCTACTCGATGAACTTTCGACGGTCCGCGCGGATTGTGTCGAATCTGCGGTGGGCGCCCCTGGCGGCGCGTGCTGCGCCGCCCTTGGCGCGCTCCGCGCGCCGCGGGGGGGGGACCAGCGCGGATCCGAGAAACCAGTGCGGATCTTCACGCTTATGCACTTTTGACACGACCACGGCTCCGGCCACGACAACGACCCTGACGACGCCGACGACCACGGCGACGACCATCACCACTACGACGGCGGTGGTGGCGAGCGGGCGGCGGCGGCATCAACGTCGTCGTCGGCGGCGGCGGCGGCGGCGACGGCGGCGTCGGCGTCGTCGGCGTCGTCGGCGTCAGCGTCGGCGTCGGCGTCGTCGTCGTCGTCGTCGTCGACGGCGGCGGCTGCGGCGGCAGTGTCGTCGTCGTCGTCGTCCATTTCGGCGCTGTCGTCGTCGGAAAAAGGAGGGAGAGTGAGCAGGGATAAAGCGGAGGATAGGGAGGATCTGGATGAGGACGACGGAGGAGACACGAGGATGAGAGGTGGGGAGGAGAAGGAGTAGGAAGCGGAAGGAAACAGGAAGATGTGCTAGGAGAAGAAGTCGCGACGGGAGTTGGAGGGATAAGAAGGCAGAACACATAACGACTACGAAGCGGGAAAGAGGAAGGGGATGAGGGAGAGCAGCATGAGGAGAACGAGGAGGATGAGCTGAAAGAAAGGAGGGGCCTCGTAGGAGACACAGTCGGGATCGGCTCAAGCATATTGCGACCGTTGGTGTAGAACAAGCGAAGAGGTGGAGCTGGAGGAGGACCAGTCGGAGCAGCAGGAGAAGGAGGGGGAAGACGAGGATGACGAGGATGAGGTGGTTGCTGGGAGTGGAGGAAGGGGGCAGGAAGATTACGAATAGGGCACAGAAGGAAATGGGAAATGAGGGATACGTCGTCCTTTGTTGCTCAAGCATCGGGCCCAGGCCCAATCTACAAGGAAAGGCCCTTGCCATCCGGCAAGTGTCAGCCAATCCGAAGACGGAACAGCTGCACACACGCGAACCCTCGGAGGTCCGCGCGGGTTTCTCGGATCGGCGCTGGTCCGCCCCCCCCCCGCTCCCCCCCCCGACGCGCAAAGCGCCTCCAGGGGCGGAGCTGGAGGCGCCGCCAGTAGAGTCCAGCGCCGATCCCTCCTTTTCCTGCTCCTCCTCCTCCTGCTCCTCCTCCTCCTCCTCCTCCTCTTGCTCCTCCTCCGCCTCCTCCTCCTCCTCATCCTCCTCATCCTCCCCCTCCTCTTCCTCCTACTCCTCCTCCTCCTCCTCCTCCTCCTCCTCCTCCTCCTCCTCCCCCCTTCCTCTTCTCCTCCTCGTCTCCTCCTCCTCTTCTCCTCCTCTTCGTCTCCTCCTCCTCCTCCTCCTTCTCCTCCTCCTCTTCTCCCCCTCCTCTTCTCCCCCTCCTCCCCCTCCTCCTCCAGGAGATCCGAGCGGAGCTCCGAAGGTATGCGCTGCGTGCCGCGCTCTGCTCCTCGGCCAGAGCCGTTCTCCCCCGGCGCGGTCCACTCCTCGGCGGCGCGCCCAGGGGGGAGGCAGCGACAGGGGGGGCAGGCCTCCTCGGGAGGCGGCGGGGCCCCCTGCGGGCTTCGGCGCAGCCCTGGAGAGCGCCGCGGAAGGCCGGAGGCGTTCCGAGGCTTCCGGGCTTCGGGGCTTTCCAGGGGGCCTCTCTGGGAGGTGGATAGACCTCCTACCCTGACACGTCGATTTTAAGGAATTGGCCGTTTTCGGTTCGCGAGAGGGCGTCGCGGCCGTCGTTTTTGCGGGTTCAGGTCCGGCGGTTTCGGCCCCAGGCCGTTTTCATTAACACAGGAGGTTTATTAAAGGGAGGTTTGTCCACCGCCAGATTTTGAAGGATCCTGCAGAGCCAGGATCGCACTGACCCGGGCTTGGGCACAGGATCCTGCAGGATCCTGCAAAACCCGATTGGCCCAGGTTTGGATTGAGCCGGGTCAGAGGAACCTCCACTGAGAAGGCCCGCCCTATCGGCCTGGCTTCTGGGTAAGATCTACAGTCAACCCGGATGAGCGACTTTCCAAGATAAACCTTGCATCATTTCCCTTCGGCCCATCCTTGGCCGCGTTCGCTGGCCGCGCTCCGCTCGCGAAGTGTCGACATGGCGCTCCAGGGCCCTTGCATCCTTGTCTCGCGCATCCATATTGTGCGGGTTGGCTCAGATGGGGTCGGAGTAGATGGGGTCGGAAGATCGCGCCGCATCGCCGATGCGTCGGCGATGCGGCTCGATGTGGAGCCCGATGCTCTCTCCACACCGACGTCGGCGCTGCATCGGCGATGCGGTGCATTTCCCCGCCCCCATCCACTCGGACCCCACCGACGTGGGAATCCTCTGGGGTCGTAGCTCGGGCCTCCGGCGACAGTTCGGGACGGCCCGGGCACGCCGTGGAGCGCCCTCGGCGAGGCGCAGCCGCTGGAGCGCACCCCGAAGCCGGAAGCCCGCCGAGAGGCGACGAGACCGCCGAAGACTTCGAGCTTCGGGCCCGGAGCTCCCGAGCTTCTCTCCTCGGCGCGCGGCCGGCCCATCGCCCCGCATGGCGCCGCAGAGCTCCGTGCCCCTCCTGAGGTCGGGGCCGGGGGAAGGGTCCACGGTGTCGTGTTCTGTGACAAGTCATGTCTGTCTGTCCACCACTCATTGGCACACGGCGGCCCAAACACAGTGCGTACATGCGTACACCTAGGATATTGATATCTATCTATCTATCTATCTATCTATCTATCTATCTATCTATATATATATATATATATCTATATCTATATCTATCTATCTATCTATCTATCTATCTATCTATCTCTATCTATCTATCTATCTATCTATACATATATATCTAACTATCTATCTATATTTATATATATCTATATACTATAGATATATATATATATATCTATATATCTATATATATATATATCTATCTATATATCTATCGATCTATCTATCTGTATATTTATCTATATATCTATCTATATACCTATACACATGTGCAGAAATATCTTCATACATATATATACGTACACACATACATACATATGTGTGTATGTATCAATCTCTGTCCCAACCCCTGTCACCAGGAGAGCAGGCCAGAAAATCGTAGACTATACGGTGTCCTGTGGCGTGTTTGCGAAGCCCCATGGGACAGGGCCCAGATCTATACCTTACGCACGAGTCGATGGAAATAGTTATGTTTGGATATCCAGATCCCCATCTACTTTGGGCGCCTTCCAACTTCAGGAGCCGAGCGGTTTCCCCCTTCCCTCCTGTTCAGGGGGCGGGCGGAAACCCAATCTACAATCAAAGCCTTCCTACCTCCGACGCCTTCCTGCTTTCAACGCCTTCTGCCTCTGACGCCTTCCTACCTCCGACGCCCTCCTATTTCCGACGCCCTCCTACCTCCTTCGCCTTCCACTTCCGACGCCCTCCTGCTTCCAACGCCCTTCTGCTTCCAGCGCTTTCATACCTCCGGCGCCCTCCTGCTCCCTGCTCCCAGCGCCCGTCCTGCTTCCAGCGCGCGTCCTATTCCCAGCGCCCCTCCTGCTTCCAGCTTCCAGCGCCCCTCCTGCTCCCAGCGCCCTCCTGCTTCCTGCTCCCGGCGCCCCTCCTGCCTCCCGGCGCCCCTCCTGCTCCCCGCGCCCCTCCTGCCTCCCGGCGCCCCTCCTGCCTCCAGCGCCTCTGCCCACGCCTCCCCACCGACGGGGGCAGTGCCCCGCGGCTCCCGGCAGGGCCCTCCCCGCCCTGCTCCTCGCGGCCGCCCTGCGCGGCTGCTCCGGCGCCCCGGCGGGCGGCCGGGCGCTGCAGACGGTCGTCGGGCCCGACGGCACGCTCACGCAGGCGGTATCGGGGGCGGCCAAGAGGAGGGGGAGGAGGAGGAGGGAGGAGGAGGAGGAGGAGGAGGAGGAACAGGAGGAGGAGGAGGAGGAACAGGAGGAGGAACAGGAGGAGGAGGAGGAGGAGGAGGAGGAGGAGGGAGAGAAGAGGAACAGGAGGAGGAACAGGAGGAACAGGAGGAGGAGGAGGAACAGGGGGAGGAGGAGGAGGCCAGGAACAGGAGGAGGAAGAGGAGCAGGAGGACGGGGAGGAGGAGGGGTTATGCTGCTGCTGGCTTCGCTGCTGGCTTGGCTGCCGCCGCCCGCTCGCTCGTTGTTCGTTCGTTCGCGCGCTGTCGGGCGCTTTGCGGGCGAAGGAACGCTCGTGGAACGCGAGAGGCAGAAAAGCAGGTGGGGGGGGCTACGAATCGCAGGCGACCTCGTGCCCCCAATCCCCGAGTGGAGCTTCCCCCAAGCATTAGTCCTCCGCAGGCCAGAAGGGAGACACTCCGAGATACAACTCCCGGGGGTGGCCATTCAGACGCAACACTATCGAGGGGATAGATTGCCCGCGGGGGCCACTGACTTCATGGCGGGGGCCGTGGTGCCTCCCCGGATTTCATGGCCCCGTTTCAGTGCATCTCCTGGCTACCCTCTGGGCCGCGCACGTGCCTCGGGCCACGCCCTGCGACCCCCCCCCCAGGACGCCCCCTCTCGACCGCTCCCGATGGCAGGGCAGAGGGGAAGCGTCCCGGCTCATCCACATCAAAGAACAGAGATACGCATGCGCATCAACTCTCGGAGCTCCGCAAGGGCTGCTTGGATCTGCGCGGAGCTCCCCCTGGCGGCGCCTCTGGCGCCGCCCCTGGCGCACTCCGCTCGCCAGAGAGGGCGGTCCAGCGCCGATCCAACAAGTCGCGCGGAGCGCCGAAAGTGTGTTTGTGTGTGTGTGTGTGTGTGTTTGTGTTTGTGTGTGTGCAGTTGTTTGTTCCTCTACTGGGCCACCAGAGAGCGTCTTGTGGTCTTGCACTGGATGTTCTCGTGGTGGGTCCGCGCCGCGCCGATCGGCGGCGACCCCGGCGCGGAGATTCGAGGTTGCGCGCCGGGTGTGGCCAGGATCTTCCCAGCGTGGAGCGATCTGACGTTTTGGAAGCGGCCGATCGTTCAAGGCTGAACGATCCCCGCGGTGTCGGGAACCGTCGCCGTGGCCGACACGGCACGAGCCGGCCGTACAGGCCCACCGAATAATGTGAGGGGGGGGCTTTGGTGGTGTGCGCGAAATGTCTGGTTGAGACAGTCCTGTTTTCATCCATCGCCTTCATGGTATGAGAGCATGGCTTTTGCTCCTCCAGCGTTCGTGTCGCGAGACTTCCTTGGTGAGCCGCTGGGGCTGCCGGGGCGGCCGGTCCCCGCTCGAAGGTGGAGCCAGCGAGCCCCGCGGCGGCCGCGGCGCTCGCCGCGGAGGCCAACGAAGAGCGAGAGCGAACGTGATCATTGTCGCCGCCGCCGTCGCCGTCGCCGTCGCCGTCGCCGTCGCCGCCGCCGCCATCGTCGCCGTCGCCGTCGCCGTCGCCGTCGCCGTCGCCGTCGCCGTCGCCGTCGCCGTCGTCGTCGTCGTCGTCGTCGTCGTCGTCGTCGTCGTCGTCGTCGTCGCCGCCCGACCTGGCCCTTCGCCCGAGTCGTGGCCGTACTGGACGGCGTCCCATAGTTCACTGTCCCGCCGCCTGCTCCGACCCGCCCGTGAGGGCCCGCCGGCCCGCCCAGCCTTTGTTCTGTTTTGCAAGTTCGGGGGGGTTTCTTGTCTTGTGAAAGGGCGGTCTTCTCTTGTGTTCCGACGTGGGTTCTACGCGGATCCGACGTGAATGCAACACGGAATCGACACGGATTTTGCTCGCTTTACGATTCGACGCGGATCGCTGGCGCGATGGAACAGACGAGGCGCCCCCCAGATGCGGCATAACGTAATCATCGACATGTATCGGCGGTTCAACGATAGGGCTTTGAGGGATGGGCGAGGGCCTCGAGCAGTGAAGCTTCCATTTGTTTGTGATCCATGTCCTGCCCTCGGGGCCTCATGAACCGGCGAGCAAACTTAGACATCGATCGTCGCGGAGACGTGAGCATCACAAGTCCGAGGAAGGCGAGTTCAGACAGCGGCAGTTGACCTTGGAGGGGGTCCTCGTGGCCACGGCTGGACGCAGCGCGGGGAACGCGGGCGCTCGGACCCTGGGAGGGCTCCGGGGATCGGTGTAGTTGCCGTTGTCTCACCTCCTCTCGGACATCAGGGCCACTGTTCGGAGCGCCGCGCGGATCCGGCGCCCGACCGCCAGCGGGTTCCCGGGCGCTGGTCCGAGAGATTCGCTCGGAGCACAGAAAAAGTTGTCGTTTGTCTCCTCAGGGTCCCCACCCCGCAGGGCAGTTAGACTTACGGGATGTTCGCCAGAGGGGATCCCGAGCAGCGTGTTTCTAGCCGAATCTGTGGCGCAACATATGTGATGTGATCTTGTATTGTTTTGCGATCAACACGGTGCAAGCTCTGTGGTGGAATCTATGTTGTGAGCGATCAACCGGCGCGCCGCAGGCGCGGCTTTTCAGCGCAGTGCACCTGGTGCAATCCACCGGCGGCGACGAGGCGACCACGGGGCGGCAACGACGACGCAGCCGCCAGACGGGCCACGCGGCCCAGACGACGGGCGGCGACGGGGCGGCGACGGCGACGACGCAGCCGCCAGACCGGCCACGCGGCCCAGCTCGTGCGAACACAGGCGATTCACCCCAGAGTGCAAGCACCCCTGCATGCCACGGCCGGCAGGCCCGAAGCGCGCCGGTGCCCGTCGAGCAGTGGCGAAGCGTCCTGGCGCGCCTATAGCCCTACCAAGCAGTGTCATAAGAACCTTTTGTGGTTTCCACGAATTGTTCTTAGAACAGTTCTGGCTGCAGGACTGTCTTGTTTTTTTGTAACACATCGGGTTTATGTTCTAAGAACATGGTTTTTGTTCTTAAAACATTTTTGGGTTCTAAGAACACTCCGTGGTATGACTATAGGAATGCCGGGACGGTCGGTCCCTGCTCAAGCCTGGACACCCCGCCTCGTCTCCTCGACGGGCGGTGCCTGCATCGGCCGCCAGGCCACAGGGGGGGCCAGGGCTCCCAGGGTGCCTCGCCCTGCTTTTTCCCAGGTGGGGGCCGCTCGAAGGAAGGCACCCGACGTCTCGATGTTGTACATCCCTGATTCCAGATCCGCCCTACTTTGGCTTTTTTAAACTGAAAGCTGCGTCGGAAATCCACCGAGAAGAAGCCGAAAAAGTAGGGCGGAAAATTCTGCACCCAACATGAAAGTAGGGCGGAAATCCACAGAAGCAGGGCGGAAACAGCAGCAGAAAAGCAGGGCGGACATCGGCATCAGCGGGGCTTGCAAAGGAAGGCAGAAATTCCAGGCCCTGCTCACGAACTTCCCCAGAGTAGGGCAGATCCAGAGTCAGGGATGCGCGGTCCCGGGAGCGAGCTCTGAGGAGGAGGAGGAGGAGGAGGAGGAGGAGGAGCATCCCGCGAAATCGCCAAAACACCATGCAGGTCCACCCGGAGTATGGCAGGCCCCGCCCTTTTCCCCCGGGCCGGTGCTTCGCCCTGGACCGCTTTTCACGACAGTCCATGGGGCCCGGCGACGGAGAACGGCCAACATGGTCCCGTCGTGGGCGTTTCACGCCCTCCGGCGGCGCGAACAAGAACGCAGCAGGGGGAAGGTTCACGACTGGAGCCCTGGACCCAAACTCCTTCTGCGGCACTTTTCGAGCAGGGCTCGGCGTACGTACGTGTCCCCAGGGCCCGAGAGATGGCGCGCGAGCGCCGGACGCGAGAGACTCGCGACGCCGGGATCCCAGGGGCGGGGATCGCTCGAAGCGGGATGCTGTTCTTGCTCCTTGCTCCTCGCGGGCGGCTCTCTGGACAGCTGCCCTCGCCAGAGGCGGGGTCTCTCGGTCCGCCGCTCCCACTGGCGACGACGACGATGACGACGACGATGACGACGACGATGACGACGACGACGACGATCCCCGAGGTCTGGACCTCGCACCAACACGAGGTCTACCCTCACCCACCACTCTGTCCCCACTGCAGTCAAGTCGCACAGTAAGGGTGAGCACCTTTCCTGGGCTACCCTTGCATCCTTGCCCTTTGGGCCCATCCTTGGCAACTTTCGCTGGCCAGCCACGTTTGGAAAACGTCAGCATGGCATTCCCAGGCCCTGCCATCCTTCCCGCGCATCCTCACTGTGCGACCCGACCGTGCCCTTCCCCACGTCTTCTCACACTGCCTTCCTCCCGCGGCGTCGTGCGGGGAGGCTCCCGGCGAGAGTGAGAAGCGGACGTGCGGGGAGGCCTGCCTCGACCCCCGCTCTCGCTCGGCTCGCCCCCGCGGCGCCCGCAGCGCGTGCGGTGGGCCGCGGGAGGGACCCCAGAGCCCCGCACCACCGGGGGCCCCTGCGGGCGGTCCTCCTCCTCCTCCTCCTCCTCCTCCTGATCCTCCTCCTCCTCCTCCTCCTCCTCCTCCTCCTCCTCCTCCTCCTCCTCCTCCTCCTCCTCCTCACGCTGCGGCTTCCCGCCTCGGGGGCGCCCCGCACTGGAGTGGCCCCAGGCCGCAGTCCTCCCGTCGGCTGCCCTCGGGCGGGTGGCACGTGGGGGGGGCGACCCACGGTGGGGGGTGACGGCTTCCCGCCTCGGGGGCGCCCCGCACTGGAGTGGCCCCAGGCCGCAGTCCTCCCGTCTGCTGCCTTCGGGCGGGTGGCACGTGGGGGGGGCGACCCACGGTGGGGGGTGACGGCTTCCCGCCTCGGCGGCGCCCCGCACTGGAGTGGCCCCAGGCCGCAGTCCTCCCGTCGGCTGCCCTCGGGCGGGTGGCACGTTGAGGGGGCGACCCACGTGGGGGGGGGTGACGAAAAAGGGCCCGGCAGGGGCCCTTATAGGAGGGCCCCTCCCGGGCCCCCTTCTGGCTCCAGAGAGGGGCCCCTTCGAGGGCCCCTTCGAGGGCCCTGTCCTCCCCCCCCCCGTGCAGGCCGCCCCCCTCCTCCTCCTCCTCCTCCTCCTCCTCCTCTCCTCCCTCCTCCTCTCCGATCCCTCCCCTCCTCCTCCTCCTCCTCCTCCTCCTGCCCCTCCTCCTCCTCCTCCTCCTCCTCCTCCTCCTCCTCCTCCTCCTCCTCCTCCGCCTCCTCCTCCTCCTCCTCCTCCTCCGGCCCTGTCTTCCCCCCCCCCCGTGCAGGCCGCCCCCCCGTCACCACGCCCGCCCGCAGGGCACCCCAGAGAAGTCGGGCCTCCGGCGCTCCCAGGGCCGCGCGGGCGCCGCGGGCGGCGCCGGGCAGCCGCCGGCGTACGGGCCTACGCGGCCTACGGCCTACGCGGCCCCGGCCTACGCGGGCGGCAGCCCCGCCTACGCGAGCCGCGGGGCGCCGCCCGGGTACTCGGTGCTCCCCCGCGGGGGGGGGGGCCGCGGGCTCCCTCCGTGGGGGGGGGGGGGGGGGGGCGGGGCGCGCGCAAGGGCCCCCGCGGCGGGGGGGGGGCCGCAGCAAGGGCCCCCCCCCGCGGGTACTCGGTGCCCCCCCCGCGGGGGGGGGGGGCGCAAGGGCCGCCGCGGGGGCGCGAAGTTCCGCGGGGGAAAGAGGAAGGCTTCTTAGAATTGGGACCCCCCAAACCGGGTGGTGAGATACCAGGTGGCGACCTGGAATCCCCAAAAAGGTCACCGCTGGGTTTGGGGACGCGGGGTCACAACCGGGTTTTGTGACTCCTGGACCCACCAACGTTCGGGACATCCTCGAAAAACTGCACGAGTCCCCAAACCGGGTGGTGACACCAAATCGCCCGAGACTCACCGCCGGGTGTTGTCACCACCACGTTTGGGGACTACCAATAGAAGCACCCCTGCTTCTCAGAGGGCGCGGGCCTTGGCTGTAGAGGTGAGGTAAGGCCAGCGCCTTCGAATAGCAGCCTCCTTAGAAGAGGCCCGCACCCCTCCCCTCGCGCCTCTCTGCGCGCCGCCAGGGTTCTCGAGGACGAGGAGGATGAGAATGAGGGATCGCGAATCGCGAACCGCGCCGCTCCCGCTGGGGAGAAGAGGAGGACGAGGAGGTCAAGGGCGATGAATCGCGGGATCGCGACGCACGGAGGAACAACACCTTACAGAAACGTAATTTTTCGGAGCTTCGCCCGGATTTCTCGGATCGGCGCTGGGCCCCCCTGGCGTTTCCTCTGGCGCCGCCCCTGGAGCGCTCCGCGCGCCAGGGAGGGGGTCAAGCGCCGATCCAAGAAATTCGCAGAGCTCCGACAGTTTATGTTGATGCAACTTGTTGTTTCTCAAGGGTCGCGATTCGCGATTCCTCGTCGTCCTCGTCCTCGTCATCCTCGCCCTCCTCTTCTCCCCTGGGGAAGCGGCTCGAGAGCGCGAAAAAGTAGTTCGCTCTCTCGCGCAGCGGGAAGGGCAAAGGGCCGACCAGGTTCGCGGTGCCTCCGATGAGGGGGGCCTGGACTCAACCAGGTTGGTCTAGGCCTCCCCGACGGGGTCGGAGGAGATGTATTCACGAAATCGAGAAACGCACGTTGAATGGACGTCCGAACGATGGCAGGAGATGGGGTCGGGGAGTTCCGCGGATGCATCGCCGATGCGGCTGGCTGCGGAGCCCAATTGTTTCCACGCCGACGTCGCCGAGGCATCAGCGATGCGGCTCGGTCCTCCAACCCCATCCACGCGGACCCCGTTTGAAAGGCCTCTGCTTGAGGAAACGTGGTGGCGCGCCGAGCGAACAGGCTCGAGAATTTCGGGTTCGAGGTTCGAGGTTCTCGGGCGTCACCGTCGGTTCCCGGCGGGCTTCCAGCCTCGGGATGCATTGCAGCGGCTGCTCCTCGCCGAGGGCGCTCTGGGGGTGCCCAGATCGTCCCGAGCGGCTGATGGAGGCCCGAGGTACGACCCGAGAGCCAAACCGAGGGGGCAGGCCTTTGAGAAGCCGTCTACGGCTTCGGACAAGGCTCAGGAGGCTTCTCGCCCCCCTCTGCCTTCCCCCTCGGCGCGCCGCTGAAAAACGCACATTGCGTATTTCAAAACGTTGGGGGTTTGGGCTGGCAATGTCAAGCCGTTCCGCCTGTCGGCCTCGGGGGGGGGGGGGGCAACTTGTGCTATCAACGGAGACCTGTCCTCCAGGGGCCCTCATTGGGCCCTCGGGCAATCAACAAAACGACTACTCGGGATGGGAAGCTGGCCTCGGGGCACGGGCCGCTTCTGGGGGACCCCGCGCTGAAGCAAGCATAAGGCGCCAGCTCTCAGAGAAGACGTGCCGATTGCCGATGCCCCTCTGTCGCGGTTCGCCCTCGTGGGCCCCCCCCCCAGGCGGGTGAGGCGAGCCCGCGTCGCCGCGGCCGAGTTCGCATCGGAGGCCCTGGTCAGAACGCGCGCCAGGAGGGGTCCGAGGAGCGGCGTGAGCTCTCCATTCGCCCCGGCTCGAAGAGGAAGAACTACACACAAACCGTCGGAGGTCCGCGCGAATCTCTTGGACTGGCGCTGGACGCCCCTCGCGGCGTCTCCAGCGCCGCCTTCCAAGTGCTCTCAGCGCGCCGGGGGACTGGGGTCCAACGCCGACTCGAGGAGGGAGGAGGGAGGAGGGGGAGGGGAGGAGGAGGAGGAGGAGGCGGAGAAGGAGAAGGAGAGAAGGAGAAGGAGAATGAGAAGGAGGACGGGGAGGAGGAGGAGGAGAGGAGGAGGAGGAGAGGAGGAGGCGGAGGAGGAGGAGGAGGAGGAGGAGGAGAAGGAGCAGGAGAAGGAGAAGGAGGACGGGAGGAGGAGGAGGAGGAGGGGAGGAGGAGGAGGAGGAGGAGGGGAAGTGAGAAGGGGCGGGCCCTCCTCAGAAGGCCGGAGAGGCCCTCGGGCCTCCGGAGAAGTTCTCCACCGCCCCCCCCCCCCCCCCCCCGAAGATGCAGAAGACTTCTCGGGTTGCCTTCTGCGAGGGCCTGCCCTTTCTCCTGCCTCCTCCCTCCTCCTCCTCCTCCTCCTCCTCATCCTCCTCCTCCTCTCCCTCCTCCTCGCCTCCCCTCCTCCTCCTCCGCCTCCTCCTCCTCCTCCTCCTCCTCCTCCTCCGCCTCCGCCGCCTGCGCCTGCCCTTTCTCGCTGCCCCTCCCTGGGCGCGCCGCCGATCCAGGCCTCCGCGCGGGCCCCCGACTGTGTACGCTCGTGCGGTGCTCTCTTCTGCTCGGCATGGTCCTTCCTCGGCATCGCTCGGACATGTGCATTTTTTCTTCGGCGAGGACCATCGAGGAGCATCCTTGATCATTTAGCGAAAAAACTACGCACGAAACCGAAAAAAGCACAGGGAATGGACGTCCGAGCGATGGCCAGCTTCTGCCCGCCCCGGTGCCCTCCACGGGCCCCGTGGCCGTCAGGAGACGATCCTGAGGGACAGATGGTCGGGGGCCCCCAAACGGGGTGGTGACCGCACCGCGTGGCGAGTCGGTGGGGATTCGGGGTCACCGCACGGTCTTGGGACTCGGGTCGTTCTCCGAGCACGTCTCGGGCGACTGGCGCATCCGAGGTCCCCAAGACCGTGCGGTGACGGACCGTGCGGTGAGGTCTTCGGGGATTTCGAGGTCACCGCACGGTCTGTCGCCGCACCGTTTCGGGACTCCCGAAATGAACACAGACGTGGGAGAACATGGGAAGTGGAGGGAAAGTCGAGGATCACGAACATGCGGGCACAGATTCGGCATATTCATATTGGGACCCGTGCCTATTCGCTTATGTGTCCCTGGGCCTGAAGGGCTGTCCCCGGGCAGCAGCCCCAGGATCCCAGATCGTCCGGCGGGTGGTCATGGAGGGTGGCCCAAATCTTGACATCGCTCGAACGTGTGCCGACATGTTTCTCGTCGAGGCCAGCGCCAGAACATTTGGACCATCCAGGAGCATCTCGGATCTTTGCGAAAGAACCGCGCACGATACCGACATATGCACAGGGGACAGACGTCCGAGCGATGGCAAGAATGGGGCTTTCAGAAAAGGGCCCTAAAGGGACCCTTCAGGGCCAATTTTGGGCCCCTGCTGTCTCCAAAGGGCCCCAGGGGGCACCATTAGAACCCTTTTCTTCACCCCTCATGCAGGTCACCCCCCACCCGCCCGAGATCGCGTGGCGCTGAGCCCAGTTGGAGCAAGTCCAGCTTGAGCCGACGGGATCCATCTGGTGGGCCTCCACCTGGGCTTAGCCTCCTCTGGGCCTAGCATCGCTCGGGCGTATGCATTTTTGCTCGGCGAGGACCATCGAGGAGCCTTTGGGGTCATCTTGCGAACACATGCACGCACGACATAGAAACATGCACGGGGAATTGACGTCCGAGCGACAGCGAGTTGGGCAGCGCTGCGATCGGTTGGAGCAGGTCCAGGCGGAGCCATGGCGCCCCATCTGCTCGGAGTCCAACCGGTTGTCGCCTCCAGCCACGGAACCCGTCTCCCTTGTGTCCCGTTGATCGAGGATCGGGGGTGGACAGAACCCCCAACAGTGACACGTCGATTAGTGAATCGTCCGTTTTCGGTTCTCGAGAGGGCGCCGTGGCCGTTATTTTCCAGGCTTGCGCTCGCCAGGTTTGGGCCTCAGGTCGTTTTCATTAAACCACGTTTTACTAAAGGGGGGTCTGTCCATCCCCGGGAGGAACAGCGTATCGCATAAACAGAGACGGTCGAAGGCCCGTGCGGGTTTCTTGGATCGGCGCCGGAGCCCCCCTCCCTGGCGCGCGGAGAGCGCCAGAGGCGGCGCTGGAGGCGCCGCCAGGGAGGCCGCCCAGCACTGGTCCAAGAATCCTCGTGGAGCTCCGCAAGACAGTGTTTTTCTTTAGTTGTCCGTATTCCACGGCAGGCACTGGGTTCAGGCCCTCTGGGGGCGACATATAAATACATGAATAATCACATACATGCATGCCCACCTACCTACCCACCTACCTACCCACCTACCTACCTACATACATACATAAACCAATAAGTAAGTACATACATACACACATACACACAATTATGCATCCATACACACATACATCTATACATATATACATACAGACATACAGACATACAAACATACATACATACATGCATGCATACACACATGCATACAGACATACAGACAGACAGACAGACAGACAGACAGGCAGGCAGACAGACAGACATACAGACATTCAGACATACATATATATATATATGTACATACATGCATACATGCATACATACCTACACACATACATACATCCATACACGCACACATGCATACACACATACACACATACACACATACACACATACATACATACATACACACATACATACATACATACACGCATACATACATACATACATACATACATACATACATACATACATACACACATACATGCATGCATACATACATACATACACAAATGCATACACACATACATACATACATACATACATACATACGTACGTACGTACGTACATACATACATACATACATACACATACATATATACATGCATACATACATACATACATACATACATACATACACATACATGCATGCACGCACGCATGCATGCATGCATGCATACATGCATACATGCATACACGCATACATGCATACATGCATACATGCATGCATGCATACATGCATACATGCATACACGCATACATGCATACATACATCCATACATCCATACAGACATACATACATACACATACATGCATGCATGCATGCATGCATACATGCATACATGCATACATGCATACATGCATACATGCATACATGCATACATGCATACGTGCATACATGCATACATGCATACATGCATACATGCATACATGCATACATACACACATACACACATACACACATACACACATACACACATACACACATACATACACACATACACACATACACACATACACACATACACATACACACACATTTCCGCCGCCCGCTGGGGGTCCAGGACGTTGGTTTCCCGCGCGCTAAACCTGGATCTATCCTCGCCTCCCCCTCGGGATCCAGCCCCGGGGATCCCGGATCCAGGACCCGCCACCCTCTCTGCGAGGGCGCGGGCCCGCCTGCCCGCCCGCAGGTGCCCGTGGCCTCGGCGGCGCCCGCGTCCTCCGCGCCCGTGTACTCGGCGGCGGCGTCGGCGGGCCCGCCGTGCCTCGTGCCCATGTGGGACGAGGAGTCGTACGTGTGCAAGGAGCTGGGGGGCGTCAGAGAGGGGGAGGAAGGAGGAGGAAGGAGGGGGAGGCGGGAAGGAGGGAGGAGGAGGAGGAGGAAGGAGGGGGAGGCTGGAGGGCGAGGCGGGAGGGCGAAGGAGGAGGAGGAGGAGGAGGAGGAGGAGGAGAAAGGAGGAGGAAAAGGAGGAGGACAAGGAGGAGGAAAAGGAGGAGGAAAAGGAGGAGGAGGGAGTGAGGGAGGGAGGGAGGGAGAAGGACATGCACTGAATCTCTCCGGTGCAGAATCAGGAATGCGAAGCAGAATGGCCATGCAGTTCTTCAAGGACGCTTGTGGTCATGAACTTCGAGGGGGGGTTGAAAGCGATAGCTCCATTTTGAAAGGGATCCGCGCTGGATGCCTGCAGTGCTGCGCGTGTTGAGTTTTTGGTTGTTTCAATTCATGCCGTCTCTAGCGAGAGCCCAATTGCGACAACTAGCCGTCCCCAATCCTCTATGTTCTGCCAGCTTTTAGGAGCAATATGCGCTGCGCTATGGCGAGAACCTCATCCGGGAAACGACCTGTGTGCGCGCAGCGCTGAGACGAAAGGCCCGCTCTGGCAACTGGCCGCCCTCCGTTCTCGAGGCCGTTGCGCACTGTTCAGATAACCCGAATGCGCGCGGCGCTAAGGCGAGAACCACCGCGGGAAGAGGCCCCCCCCCATCCTTGGAGCTATTGCAGACGTTTATGAGCAGTGCGCGCGGCGCTCAGGCGAGAACCACACTCTGACAACGGCCCGCCTTCCATTCTTCTTGAGGGTGCTGCACAGTGACAAGACGCATGTTCGTGGGGCTGTGGCGAGAGCCGCGTGCTGAAAACCGCCCGCCCTCCGTCCTTGAGGTTGTTGCAATCGTTTGCGGCGAATGCGTGCGGCGCTGAGGCGAGGGCAAGTTTCAGGATCACAGAGGGAGGGGAAGCCTCTGGCCAAACGCCGGGCCCGCGCTACCGACACGTCCTGGGGCGCGACCAGGAGGAGTGGTTTATCAAGAACAGGGATGGGGGAGGAGGAGGAGGAGGAGGAGGAGGAGGCAAATGAGGACACAGGGGGGGTGGAAGAGAAGGAAGGATCGAAGGCGAGAAGGATGAGGCTCGGGGGCGTCTAAGAGGGGGGTGAGGTTTGGGGGGGGTGATGTCATGGCCATGGCTGTGAAACGCAGGCGATTTCTGCCCCCAATCCCCGAGTTCCCCCCTCCAAATACTTGTGCTTAGAGAGACATTCTGGTGTACGATCCCAGGGGTGGCTATTCGGACAACATTTTCTTTTCGAGGACACAGGTCCCCCACCCTTCCATCCCCGGGTTTGGCACAATGTGTCTGTCCAGCCGGAAACTCAAGCTAGTCGAGTATTGGCCGCCTTGCCCCGCGTTGGCGAGAACTCCCAGATTCTATGGCCCCTCCTGTTCCCTCAACTCGGCATCGCTCGGACGTGCGCACCTTCTTTTGTCTCGGCGAGGACCATCGAGGAGCATCCTGGACCATCTCGCGAAAAATTAGCCTGGCGAAGGACCCAACCATATGCAGTTGAGAGTACCGCAACTGTGAATATCTTCTTCGGTGGCGCTCCCTATGGGGCCACGAGCCGTATGAGGGGTGTGCCGAAATGGGTGTGCGGGACGCATGCGGACGGCAGCCATGGGGCCTTCGGTGGAGCTCCCTATGGGGCCACGAAACGTGTGAGGGGTGTGCCGAAATGGGTGTAGGGGACGCATGCGGGCGGCAGCCCTCGGGCCTTCGGTGGAGCTCCCTATGGGGCCACGAAACGTGTGAGGGGTGTGCCGAAATGGGTGTGCGGGACGCATGCGGACGGCAGCCATGGGGCCTTCGGTGGAGCTCCCTGTGGGGCCACGAAACGTGTGAGGGGTGTGCCGAAATGGGTGTGCGGGACGCATGCGGACGGCAGCCTGGGGCCTTCGGTGGAGCTCCCTGTGGGGCCACGAAACGTGTGAGGGGTGTGCCGAAATGGGTGTGCGGGGCGCATGCGGACGGCAGCCATGGGGCCTTCGGTGGAGCTCCCTATGGGGCCACGAAACGTGTGAGGGGTGTGCCGAAATGTGCGTGCGGGACGCATGCGGACGGCAGCCATGGGTCCTTCGGTGGAGCTCCCTATGGGGCCACGAAACGTGTGAGGGGTGTGCCGAAATTGGTGTAGGGGACGCATGCGGGCGGCAGCCCTCGGGCCTTCGGTGGAGCTCCCTATGGGGCCACGAAACGTGTGAGGGGTGTGCCGAAATGGGTGTGCGGGACGCATGCGGACGGCAGCCATGGGGCCTTCGGTGGAGCTCCCTATGGGGCCACGAAACGTGTGAGGGGTGTGCCGAAATGGGTGTGCGGGACGCATGCGGACGGCAGCACTGTGGCCTTCGGTGGAGCTCCCTGTGGGGCCACGAAACGTGTGAGGGGTGTGCCGAAATGGGTGTGCGGGACGCATGCGGACGGCAGCCATGGGGCCTTCGGTGGAGCTCCCTATGGGGCCACGAAACGTGTGAGGGGTTTGCCGAAATGGGTGTGCGGGACGCATGCGGACGGCAGCCATGGGGCCTTCGGTGGAGCTCCCTATGGGGCCACGAAGCGTGTGAGGGGTGTGCCGAAATGGGTGTGCGGGACGCATCTCAGGAGCGGCAGCCATGTTGCCTTCGGTGGAGCTCCCATATGGCTTGTGTTTTTTGTCCATAGGGTGGTTCCGAATGGGTGTGCGGGAAACGCATTGCGGACGGAGGGCGGCATCACTGGGCCTTCGGTGGGGGAAGCAGCCGGGGGGGGAGCTCCCTATGGGGCCACGAAAACGTGTGAAGGGTGTGCCGACATGGTGTGCGGGACGCATGCGGACGGCAGCACTGGGGCCTTCGGTGGAGCTCCCTGTGGGGCCACGAAACGTGTGAGGGGTGTGCCGAAATGGGTGTGCGGGACGCATGCGGACGGCAGCCATGGGGCCTTCGGTGGAGCTCCCTATGGGGCCACGAAACGTGTGAGGGGTGTGCCGAAATGGGTGTGCGGGACTCATGCGGACGGCAGCCATGGGGCCTTCGGTGGAGCTCCCTATGGGGCCACGAAACGTGTGAGGGGTGTGCCGAAATGGGTGTGCGGGACGCATGCGGACGGCAGCACTGGGGCCTTCGGTGGAGCTCCCTATGGGGCCACGAAACGTGTGAGGGGTGTGCCAAAATCTGTGTGCGGGACGCATGCGGACGGCAGCCCTCGGGCCTTCGGTGGAGCTCCCTATGGGGCCACGAAACGTGTGAGGGGTGTGCCGAAATGGGTGTAGGGGAAGCATGCGGGCGGCAGCCCTCGGGCCTTCGGTGGAGCTCCCTATGGGGCCACGAAACGTGTGAGGGGTGTGCCGAAGTGGGTGATGACGATGACGATGACGACGATGACAATGACGATGATGATGATGATGACGATGACGATGACGATGACGATGATGATGATGATGATGATGATGATGATGATGATGATGATGATGATGATGATGATGATGATGATGATGGTGGTGATGATGATGATGATGATGATGATGATGATGATGATGATGATGATGATGATGGCTGATGATGATGATGATGATGATGGTGGTGGTGATGATGAATTATTATGAGGATGCTTGATGATGATGATGACTATGAGATGACGACGATCTAGTGATGATTATGGATGATTTATGATGTGAGGAGGCAATGAGGGTGAGGATGAGGATGAGGATGAGGATGATGAATGATGATGAGGATGAGGATGAGGATGATGGATGAGGATGAGGATGATGAGGATGAGGATGAGGATGAGGATGAGGATGGGAGGAGGGAGGAGGGGGAGGAGAGAGGAGGAGGAGGAGGTGGGACGCGGGGCGCTGTCTCTTCAAAACGAGGACCCAACACCACAGGATGGTTGGGAAAAAACGCACGAAGATCTTTCCCCCCCTGGACGTCACCCCCCTCTTGGCCGCCCCCGACTCCTGGGAGGGGGGGGGGGAGGAGGGGGGGGGTCGGCGCTGGACGAACCTCCCTTAGAGTAAACCACCCTTTAGTCAAAACGGCCCCGGGCCGAACGCGACGGACCTGGACCCGCCACAAAAAGCGCCTGTGACGCCCTCGTCGCGATCCGAGAACGGCCAAGTCACTCATCGACGCGCCAGGGCAGGAGGCCTGTCAGACTCCGCAGGGCGGCGGGGGGGCTCCGGGCACTCCGTCGCTCGCCTCCGGGGGAGGCCCGGCGGGCGCGTGGCGCACCGTGGCCCGAGGCCTCGGACACAGGGGGGGGGGCGGGGGGCGGGGGACGCCCCGAGCTCGCCGTCGCTCGGGCGGCCCCTCCCCGCGCACGCTTCGGCGACGGCATGGCGCCCCTCCCGACGGCACTGCGTCCCCGCCCCCCCCCTCCCCTGGGCCGCGCAGGTGCCGCCGGCCAGGATTTGCGCCCGCCCCCCCTCTTACTTGGACGCCCCCGAGTTCGGATCCACCCCTTCCTTCTCCCCTCGCCCCCTCTCCCAGGAGAGGGGAAGTCAGATGATGGGGGAACTCGGGAGCTCGATGGTGGCTGATCGTCAGCTGAGGGCACGAAGGAGGACCCCATTAACTCGTTCAGAGAAGAGAGAGTCTCCCTGAGTGTGAATTGCCTACCACACTTGCTTCCAGGCAGAACGTCATACCACGCGCCCACTGGCCAAGCCGCCTGACCGTTGCGGTCTAAAACGAGGGTACTGTTTTGGCCCCGTCTGGAAGCGATGGTGGTCGAAAGCGAGGTGGGCCCGCCTGCACACCGATCCTCCCCGTCGGCCGTCGGGACAGCCTGCGCCGGCGCGGGGAGAGCGAGAGCGGAGGACGGCTGCGCGGATCTTTACCAGCGGTCGACTCCTGCCCCCCCCCCCTCGCTCGGCGCCCCACCCGACGGAGGAGCACGAGGACTTCATGAGCGTGCGGACCGAGATGCCCGCGCCGCAGTGGGTGTGCGGGGTCGCCGGGTGCGCCTGGAGCTCGGGGGCAACGATGGGGTGGGGACAGGCTCGGGGGGGGCGCTCGGAGGACGCCCCCACTCCTCCTCCTCCTCCTCCTCCTCCTCCTCCTCCTCCTCCTCCTCCTCCTCCTCCCCCCCTCCTCCTCCTCCTCCTCCTCCTCCTCCTCCTCCTCCTCCTCCTCCTCCTCCTCCTCCTCGTCGTCGTCGTCGTCGTCGTCGTCGTCGTCGTCTTTCTTCTCCAGTCATCGTCGGTGTTCGAACGTTGCCGCCGGCTCCCTGCGGTTCTCCTGCCTCGGGATGCTCTTCTGCGGCTGCTCCTCGTCGAGGGCGTTCGGGAGGGGGGGGGGGGGCGGGCCAGGACCGTCCCGAGCGGCCCCCTGGAGAGCCGGGCCCCGAAGGCCACCAGGGGACAGCTTCGGGGGGGGGGGGGGATGCATCGACCCCCGGTCGGCGCCGCAGGGGCCCGGCAGCCCACCCCGTCCGGGAGCGCGCGGGTTCGCCGAGCCCCGAACGCCACCAGGGGACAGCTTCGAGGGGGGGGGATGCATGCCTCGACCCCCGGTCGGCGCTGTAGGGGCCCGGCAGCCCACCCCGTCCGGGAGCGCGCGGGTTCGCCCTCGGGGGCCCCTCGCCCGGCCTCTCGGCGGTGTGTCGCCGAGGCCGGGCCGAGGTGCCCCCGAACTCGGAGGTGGACAGACCTCCTACCCTGACGCGTCGATGCTTGCCTGGTGCGTCCGGCAGGAGACGCGCTTGCCTCGGTGTGGCGGATCGTACAGTCGGGCCGAGGTACAAGACCGAGGGCGCTTCGGGGAGGGTGCCCTAACGTTCTTCGTGTCTGTTGGATGCTCTTGGGCATGCTTCGGGGGTGGACAGGCCTCCTACCCTGACGCGTCGATTGAGGAATTGGCCGTTTTCGGTTCGCGAGAGGGCGTCGCGGCCGTCAGTTTTGCGGGTCCAGGTCCGTCGGTTTCGGTCCCAGGCCGTTTTCACTAAAGGGAGGTTTACTAAAGGGAGGTTTGGCCACCGCCGACAAACACTTTTTTTTTGATTCGCGGGTCGAGAGCGCACCTCTTCTGGTCGAAAAGCCAAGCGGGCCGCGCGAGGCTTGAGTTAGCCAGAGGCGGGGAAGGAGCAGGGGGGCGCAGCCTCAGCACGAGGTGTCCCCGAGCGCCCGCGCCGCCCCCCCGCCCCCCGAGAGTCCGCTCTGCCCCCCAGGAGCGAGGCGAGGCCCAGCACGCCCGGCGCCGTCGCGGACGCCTTCGGGGTCACGCGGGTGTGGCTCCCGGACGCCTCGAAGTGCACCGTGGGCGGGCCCGGGACGCCCGGGGAGGAAGATGTACCCAGACCTCCTCGCGTCGTGAAAAAATCACGACGGGAGGTTTTTCGCAATTTTCGGCCTCCGGGGGCCCTTCCCGGGCCTCGGGACCGTCAAAAAGCGACTCAGGATGAAAAACCGGTCCCGGGGAAGGGGTCCAGACCTTTGGGGATCGACGTTGTGAAAAAATCACGACGTCGGGGGTCTGGGTACCCGTCGGTCGTTGAAAGGAGGTATTTGGGGATTCCCGGGTCCCAATCTACGTCAAGCGCCTTCCTGCTTCAAGACTCAATCTGCATTTGCTGCGTTCTGCTATGCTTTGGTCGGGCCCGAGCCCAGTCTGCTTTATCCGCCTTCCTGCTGCATGTTTCTACCTACTTTTTCCGACCGACGTGTACGGTAGGCTCGCGTCGTGTCGACCGGCGGCGACCCCGCCGCTGGCTTTCAACATTGAACGCCGCGGGCGACCAATAATCGGTTGATGTTGAACGATCTGACGTTTTGTAAACCGCCGATCGTCCCGCGGTGTGAGGAACCAACGAACTTGCCGTACCGAGAGCGCTGCTTGTTTGCTCGTCCTGGAGAGCCCTCGTCAGCATGGCTGGATTATCCTCGAAATTTTAGTCAGAACGCACCCTGGGAGATGCCCAGGGAGTAGTGGCATCGCTATTGCGAAGGCCTTACCACCAGTGCCGCCGACCCTAAGAACCCCGATGAAGTTTTGGGGGTGTCTTGGGAGCCCTTCTGGGAGCCTCCTGGGGCTCCCTGGCGGCTCCCTCGGGGCGCCTGGGGGCCTCGTGGGGGCCTCTGGGGGGCCTTTTGGGCCCCAGGACCCCCTGGGGGAAGGCATTCCGACCTGGGACCCCCGCAGGGACGCCCACTTCCCTTCGGCTCAAGTTGCTCAATTCCTCTTCGATCCGGCGGGGAAGGGATCGTTCGATTTCGCTTAGGCTGTTCCGCTCTGGCTGGTGCGCTTAAGGAGGAGGGCCCAGAGAAAAGGGGGGAGCGGCGACGGCGACGACAACGGCGAAGGCGACGAAGACGACGATGAGTCAAACGAAGCAGCCTCCTCGCCCACGCCGACACAGTTGGCGGATTTCTGGTCCGAAAGCATCCCGGGAGAGGTCCGAGGAGTGGCGGTATCGTCATTTTTGGTGTACCCCCAGGAAGTATTCCTTTTGGATGACCTCGGCGGTGACCGAGATGATGTGCACGGCGGGCGTGTGGGACGACGGCAAGGGCAAGCCGATCACTGCGATCGAGATGCAGACGGCGCTGTGGTTCACCATCGCCTCGGCGGTCGTGGCTGTCGCTGCCGTCTACCTCGTCTACAAGATGTGCTACGACACGGAGTCCCCGTGGTACACGTGGAGGCATCGTTACGTGATTTTCGACCCCGAACCAAACCTCTGGGTCTGTTTGGGAGAAGGGCGCCGCGGCGATCGCGGCGGCTGCAAATCGGGGTCAGGTTTTTGTCAAGGAGTGGCATGCTCCTTCCCACCTCCCCGCCGCACTCTGCGATGTCGACGTGGTATATAATTCACAGAATGGAGACAGAGAGTTGTTAATTAGTTTGTGCCCAACTGTAACAGTCGGCGGCGAGCCCAGGAGGGAAGTGAGAGGGGGCGGGTCTTATCAAAAGGCTCTGAAGGCAGCTGGCCTTATGACAAGTTTTCTAAGCGAAGGCAGAGAAAACTTCTCAGAAGCCCGGAGGGCTTCTGAGAAGCCCTTCGGCCTGTGGAGAAGGAAGGCCTGCTCTCTCTCTCTCTCTCTCACTCCCCCCCCCCGGCGCGCCGCCGAAGCGGGGGCAGTCGTGTCTTTTCCGACCCTCACGCAGCCGAGGCAGGAGCAGGCGGTGAAGTGGGGCTTCGCGACGGCGCCCCCGCCGGTCGAGGAGGCGGGCGGCGACGCCAAGGCGTCGGGCCCGCAGCACGGCATCAACATCAGCATCTCGAACGCGAGCGGGGGCGGGCCTGCGCCCGCGGCGCAGGCGAAGTAGGGGCAGACGCGCCCGGCTGGCGTGCCCCGCGCCTTCCTCGTCCTGACCCTCTTCGAGCTCGAGCCAGGAGGAGGAGGAGGAGGAGGAGTAGGAGGGGAGGGGGGGAGAGGGAGGGGGAAGGAGCAGGAGGGGGAGGAGACAGGGGAAGAGGAGGGGGGGAAGAGGAGGGGGGGAGGAGGAGGGGGGGGGGGCAGGGAGGAGGAGGAGGAGGAGGAGGAGGAGGAGGAGGATTGTGGTGCCCTTAGGGGTAGGCGCTGGAGGATATTGGTGCCCTTAGGGGTACGGTAGGCTCTCTCCCATCCTTTTGATTGTTGGTGCTGGTGAAGGTGGGGAAGTTCAGGAGGAGGAGGAGGAGGAGGAGGAGGAGGAGCAATCCTTCTTCACTCTTGTTCGCCGACTACTCCTGCTGCTCCAGAGCCGCTGGCGGAGCCTTGGAGCTTCATCTTTTGCATCCAATGGTTTTCAGCTGCTTTCCGAAGGTTCGATATTTCGTGCAGTTGACCTTCCGCCTTGGCCGCTCTGGTGACGAGCCCTACTCCTGAAGATGTCGTCAGTGAGGCTTCTTCACCGTCCACTGCAAAATATCTCCATCATCCCCCTCCTTCTTTTCCTCCCTCCCCCCCCGCTCACATCCCGCTCACATCTCGCTCACATCCCCTCCCCTCACATCGCCCTCCTTCTTGTCCTCCCCCCCCCGCCTCACATCCCGTTCCATGCTCCCCCTCCTCGTCCCCCCCCTCTTCCCCTGGGCGTGATGCACCCCGAGGATGCGGGAGGAGGAGGAGGAGGAGGCGGAGGAGGAGGAGGGAGGAGGAAGGGGGAGGGAGCGAGGGGGAGGAGGGAGGAGGAGGAGGAGGAGGAGGGGGAGAGAAGGGGGAAGGAGGAGGAGGAGGAGGAGGAGGAGGAGGAGGAGGAGGAGGAGGAGGAGGAGGCTGAGGCGGGGGGAGGGAGGAGGAAGATGGAGTGAGCGAGGGGGATGTCGAGGAGAAGGTAGAGGAGGATGATCTTCGCTGTCTTCGACGATCACGAGGAATCCCGTAGGGCAGTCGTGCTTTTGTTCCCATTCAGGGGAGCCCAGCGGAGAGAGACGAGTGACAAACAGACGCGGACAGGCCGGAAGAGGGGGAAGAGGAGGAGGAGGAGCAGGAGGAGGAGGAGCAGGAGCAGGAGGAGGAGGAGGAGGAGGAGGAGGAGGAGGAGCAGGAGGAGCAGGAGGAGCAGGAGGAGCAGGAGGAGCCAGGAGCTCTCCTGCCTTTCTCTCCGGGTGCTCAGCTGCTCTGCCCTCCTCGTCGCCCCCTGTCTTCGATCACCGGCCGGCCTTCGGCTGCAGGCCAGAGCGCGCCGAAAGACAGGGGGCCTGGTCCTCCTCCTCCAAGGGAGGAGGGAGGAGAGTGGAGGGAGGAGGGAGGAGGGAGGAGGGAGGAGGAGGAGGAGGAGGAGGAGGAGGAGGAGGAGGAGGAGGACGAGGAGGAGGAGGAGGAGGAGGCTCTGGTCCCAAGGGCCCCCGCGAGGGCGGAGAGACGCTTGCGGGGCGAGGGGCCCGCCGTCGCAGAGGCCCGGCCCGCTCGAGGGCGCGGCGCCCCCAGGCTGAAGAATGCCTTCGACGTGCGCTTCGTGCCGCGCTCCACCAACAAGGCTTGGCCAGGGCGGGGTGGGCTAAAACGACGCGAAGATCGGGACAAAATCGGATCGGCATAACTCGAAATCTCTGAGAATCGGCGGGTTTGGAGGATGTATTGGGCGCCGCGGCCGCTCCAGAGCGTTCCGGAACACTCTGAGAGCGCTCCGGAACGCTCTGGAGCGATTTATCCCGATCCTAGCCTGTGTTTTATGGGCGGGGAGGGGCGGGGTGGGAGGGGAGGAGCGAGGGAGGGGTGGGGCGGGGAGGGAAGGGTGGGAGGGAGAGTGCCTTCGACGTGCGCTTCGTGCCGCGCTCCACCAACAAGGCTTGGCCAGGGCGGGGCGGGGGGAGGAGCAAGGGAGGGGTGGGGTGAGAGGGAGGGGGGGGGGGGGATGGATCGGAGCAGGGCGCGAAAAGGAGGAGGCGGACGAGGAGGGGGGGATTGGGGAAGGAGGGGGGAAGGAGAGAGGGAGAGACAAGGCAAGTGCGCTCGCGCCATGTCTGACATCCTGCCCCATCCCACCCATCCCTTCCCGCTGCGCTGATTTGTCTTCATCCGCCGACGGACGTCACTTCGGACCTGGAAGCCGCACAGGAACCTCATCGCGCTGTGTGCAATCTGCAAGGGGGAGCTGTGCACATGTGGAGGATGAGGAGGTGACAGATGAGCAGGAGGAAGAAGAGGGGGAGTGAGAGGAGGAGGAGGAGGAGGAGGAGGAGGAGGAGGAGGAGGTGGACCAGAGTAAACCCAGGATGCGTCAACGATGCTTCAATACGTCCGCCCGAAGTCCCCTCCTCAGAAGTCTCTGCAGGCGGTTGTTTCTCACTACCGGAAGCGTCCCCTTAAAAGACGAGCGCATTGTAGAGCCCCAGTGTTGAGAAAGATCACTATCGGAAGCGTCCCCTTGAAAGACGGGCGCATTGTAGAGCCCCAGTGTTTAGAAAGAATTGCTCTGCATCCTTCAGGCTAGAAGAAATGCGAACAGGCATGATCCTAAGGTTCCAGAGAGGGTCCAGCGCCCTCAACCTGCATAATTGTTGCACGCGCTTTGAATGTATTATGGCCCTCGCAGTCGAAGAGATATCCGGGCGAGAGCCCCCGCTTGTAAACAGAGCCGCCCTGACCTTGTAAACCATGCCATGATGACCCCCGCTCGGGAGAGCAACCGGTTTCCTTCCCTGAGGCTGCTGGGGACGTTCGAGGCCAGTGCGGACGGCGCTGAGGCGAGAGCCCCAGTTGAAGGCGGCCCAACGATGTCATATCAGAAAAGCCACGACGACTTCACAACACAAAACGACGACCATTCAAAAACGACGCAGCCCGACGATCTTGGAAACAGGAAGCGGCCCGACAGCTGCTCGACGATCAGGCCACAGAAGCACCCGGGCGCGCACCGCCGAGGCCAGGGCGACATCTTGGCGACGGACCGTCGCCCATCTGCGGCAACTGCTCGAAGCCTCCCAGACTCCCTCCTCCTCCTCCTCCTCCTCCTCCTCCTCCTCCTCCTCCTTCCTCCTCCTGCTCCTCCTTCCTCCTCCTTCCTCCTCCTCCTCCTCCTCCCTCCTCCTTCTCCTCGGCGACGGACCATCGCCCCCCTATCCGCCCTCCTCCTCCTCCTCCTTCCTTCCTCCTCCTCCTCTCCTCCTCCTTCCTCCTCCTCCTCCTCCCTCCTCCTTCCTCCTCCTCCTTGGCGACGCACCGTCGCCCATCTGCGGCAGCTGTGCGGCGCCGAGGCGGGGAGCCGCACCTCGGAGGCGCGCCGCCGTCCGCCCGCGCCGCCGCCGGGCGCTCGCCGGCCGCCGCAGCGGCGGCGAGGCACGGCTCCGGCGGCGCGCCGGGGCGCCTCGCCCCCTGCGGCACGCGCGGTCCTCCTCCTCCTCCATCCTCCTCCTCCTCCTCCTCCTCCTCCTCCTCCTCCTCCTCTCTCCTCCTCCTCCTCCTACTCCTCGCTTCCCTCCTCCTCCTCCCCCTCCTCCTCTCCTCCTCCTCCTCCTCCTCCTCCCTCCTCCTCCTCCTCCTCCTCCTCCTCCCTCCTCCCTCCTCCTCCTCCCCCTCCTCCTCCTCCTGGCCTCTGCACGAACGAGATGGGCACGGAAAGAATGCGTATACGTATACGATGCCCAACAGCGGATCTGGTTCATTTTGAACAGGACTCGCTGTCCACGCCGCCGCTGTTGGTTTGGGGCAACATCTGTTGTTGGACACTGTACCCATTCTTTCCGTACCCATTTCGGGCGCCTCGCCCCTTGCGGCACGCGCGGTGGCCTGGCAGCGCTCGGGCGTGCGCAGCTTTCCCCCGGCCAGGGCCATCGGGGGGCCCTCTTGGGGTCGTCTTGCGAGGGAGGGGCTCGTGGCACGCGCGGGGTCGAAGAGTATGCACGGGGGACGGGGCGTCCGGGCGATGGCGAGGGTGGGTACGGCGAGGAGGAGCAGATCGCCATGGGGGGAAGGGGTCCCGAGGGAGAGGGCGCTCTGGGGCTCCTCGCCGCCTTTGGCTTCCAGGGCCCTCCCGCCAGGGGCCCCGGGGCCGTCAGGAAGCGACTCGGGATGCAGAGTTGGGTCCTGGGGGAAGGCCCCAGGGGCCAGGCCCGTTGCCCTCAGGGCCCGCGCCCCCCGTACTACCAAGTGCGGCGCGCGTGGTTCGGGCCGGACGGAAGGGGGGGATTGGGAAAGGGGGGGGTACGAAATTTGCTGTATGCAGCTGGTCTCGGCCCCACGGAGGGGCCCATTCCTCGATACATGGCCGCCTCCGGCGCCGGGAGGCGCCGGGAAAGTCAGCTACGTGAGCTGATTCTCAACCCCCCCTTTGCTATCCCCCCCTTTCGCCCGACCCGAGTGGTGGGGGCGGCGAGGAAGTAAATGCCAGGAGTCACCGAGCGCGCTCCACTGCTCGCAGGGTGCCTGCTCGCAAACGCCCGAAAAAGCACGCGCTTGCCTGACAGGCTCGCGGACAGGCTTGCGGAGGAGGGGGCAGAGAAAGGGGACGACGGAGACGACGACTGACGAAGACGACGACTCGAGCAGAAAAGCACCGTACACACGCCGACAGGGTCGGCGGATTTCCACCGATTCGACTTCTCCCGGCTCGGCTGCCAAGTTCTGCCGATCCGACTCGCTTCGATCACCAATCCGATTTATCAATTCGATTATGGGCTCTCCTGCAACAAAGAACCACAACCAGAATTGAGTGGATTGTTCTGGAGGGCCCCCTCTAGGAAGAACCCACCGACCTCGACATGAACACTTTGGTCGTGGTCGTGGTCGTGGTCGATTTGGCCGTCCTGGGACGCCACATCGACTACAACCAGTACGAAGCTGGTTTCGGTGTTCCGACAATGTTTGGCATGCGCAAGACATCCCTCAGAGTATGTGGTTGTGGTCGCTGTTGTACCCGCTTGTAGGCCGCTCATGGCGCCCTGCCCCTATCAGCCGCAGCGGTTGGTGGCCGAACAAAAATCTGTGGCCGAGAACGTGCCCAAAATGATGGCAAAGCGTGGTGCGACCGAAATTGCGACCGAATTTGAAGATAGTTTTGGTGTCGAAACAAGGACTTCGGTCACACACTGGCGCGTTCGGAAAACATCGGGGGTCGGTGGAGCGAGCCGCATCGCCGATGCGTCGGCGATGCGGCTCGATGCGGAGCCCGATCTTCTCCACACTGGCGTCGCCGATGTACCGCCGACGTCGCCGATGCGGCGCGGTCCTCCGACCCCATCGATTCTGCCCCATCTGGGATGCTTGAAGAAAAAGCATACGTAAGCGTAAGCTTTCGGAGCTCCGCGCTGTTTTCTTCGATCAGCGCTGGAAGCTCTTGGCGGCACCTCAGGCGTCGCCCCCGGTGCGCTCCACACGCCAAGGGGGGGGTGTCCAGCGCAGATCCAAGACATCGCGCAGATCTCGGGAAGGTGTAGGTTTATGCATGTTTCTCCTCTAGCCTCCGCCGGGGCACCCCGCGCGCGCCGGTTGCGGAGTCTCTGAAGATCAACGAGTTGACAGCGGAGAGCGTCGGCTCGCTGGTGCAGCTAGATTGCCTGGTGGTGCGCGTGGGGATGGTGAAGCCGAAGGCGCTCCCGCGCGACGGCGGCGGCGGCGGCCACGACCACTGCGACGAGGAGTGCCACGGCCATCGCGACGACGATCTAAGCTTTTTGCCCTCTAAACTACATCGGCGGCCACGACAACAGCGTCGACGACCGCCATGACCACGACGACCGAAGAAGAATAACACATTAGCCTGGCGAAGGACCCAGCCATATGCAGCTGCGAATAACGAAGGATATTACCTTCTCATCATAGGCAGCGCGCCGCGAGAGAGATGAAGCACGGGGCAACGCGTATGGGAACCCCGAAACGTTTGCGGGTGTGCCGAAGTGGGCTGGGGGATGCATGCGGGCGATGCCACTGGGGCCTTCGGCGGAACTCCCTATGGGCCACGAAACATGTGAGGGCTTGTGTCAAAGTAGCCAGAGGAAGGCACACGAACCCTGCCACTGAGGCCTTCGGTGGAGCTCTATATGGGGCCGCACGGCGTGTGAGGGGTGTGCCGAAATTGAGGCGACGCCGCCATGCGAACCCTGCCGCTGCTGCCTGCAGTAGAGCTCCGTATGGGGCCACGAAACGTGGGCGGGGTGTGCCGAAATGGGGCGGGGCCGCCATGCGAACCCTGCCACTGGGGCCTGCGGTGGAGCTCCCTATGGAGCCACGAAACATGCGGTGTGTGTGTGTGTGCCGAAATGTGGCGGGGCCGCCATGCGAACCCTGCCACTGGGGCCTTCGGTGGAGCTTTCTATGGGGCCACGAAGCTTTTGAAGGGTGTGCCGAAATGGGATGGGGCCGCCATGCGAACCCTGACACTAGGGCCTTCTGTGGAGCTCCCTGCTTCGCCGCTACGAAAGTTCGGCCAAAATGCAGCGCGTCCCGTAAGGCGACGGGGCCCCGGTATAACGCCGTCAGTGGCGTTGCGCCCGCGACAAGAGAGGAAACGTCAAAGGGACACGTTAGGCCGCGGGGCCCCAGTACAATGTTCGGTTTAAGCATTGTTGTGTTAAAGTCTTGGGCGGAACCGCCCTTTCGGATTCGAGCCCGATGGTTTCGAAATCCAGTCGAGGTCGCATTTTGAGAAAGAGCGTGTTCTACCGCTGCTGGCGGAAAACCGGGGGGGTCACTGGGGGTTCCTAACCCGTCCCCCCCCCCTCCCCCCTCGAAAACCGGGGGGAGGGGGTCACTACCGGTTCGAACACCCCCCCCAGTCCATCATGAAAAGGCGGGGGTCACTATGCCGGTTCGACCCCCCCTTGGAAAACCGGGAGGGGTCATTACCAGTTCGAACCCCCCCCCTCGAAAACCGGGAGGGGTCACTACCATTTCGAACCCCCCCCCCGCCCACCCCTCGCCGCCGGCAAACGATGCCCGCTCCTCGGGACAGTTGGAGAATGGTGGGGATGTTGGGACAGTGGTGGGAACGGTGGTGATGGGGACAGTGGTGCGGGGACAGTGGGACAGTGGTGCGGACAGTGGTGGGGACAGTGGTGGTGGGGACAGTGGTGAGGGGACAGCGGGACAGTGGTGGGGACAGTGGGACAGTGGTGGGGACGGTAGTGGTGGGGACAGTGGTGAAAGCAGTGGTGAGGACAGCGGTGGGACAGTAGTACAGTGGGGAAAGTGGTGGGGACAGTGGGGACAGTGGGACAGTGATGGAGACAGTGGGGACGGTGGGACAGCACAGTGGGACAGCGGCGGGGACAGTGGGACAGTGGTGGGAACAGTGGGGACAGTAGGACAGTGGTGGGGACCGTGGGGAAAGTGGGGAGAGTAGGATTGTGGTGGGACAGTGGCGGGGAGAGTGGGGACAGTGAGAGACTGGTGGGGCCACTGGTGGGGACAGCGGGGACAATGGTGGGAACAGTAGGGACAGTGGGACAGTGGTGGGGACGGGGGTGGTGGGGACTGGTGTGGGGACAGTGGGAATGTGGTGGAAACAGTCGGACAGTGGAGGGTACAGTGGTTGTGGCGACAGTGGTGAGGGCGGTGGCGAGGACGGCGGTGGGATAATGGGACAGAGGTACAGTAGGGACAGTGGTGGGGACAGTTGGGACAGTGGTGGGAACAGTGGGACAGCTCAGTGGGACAGCGGCGGGGACAGTGGGACAGTGGGGACAGTGGGACAGTGGTTGGGGCCGTGGAGAAAGTGGGGAGTGGAACCGTGGTGGGGACAGTGGGGGCAGTGCGACAGTGGTGGGGGCACTGGTGAGGACAGTGGTGACGGTGGTGGGAGCGGGAGCAGTGGGGACAGTGGTGGTGAGGACAGTTGTGCTGGGGACAGCAGTGGGGGATGTGGTGCGGACGGTGGTAGGGATCCAGAATTGTTTGCTGGCGGTGAACGTGGGGGGGGGAGGGGTCACAGGGTTCGAACCGGTAGTGACCCCCCCCAGTTTTCGCAGGGGGGTTCGAACCGGTAGTGACCCCCCCCAGTTTTCGAGGGGGAGGGGTTCGAAGTGGTAGTGACTCCCCCTGGTTTTCGAGGGGGGGGGGTCGAAACGGTAATGACCCCCCCCGGTTTTCTGGAGGGGGGGGGGGGGGGTCGAACCGGTAGTGGACGAGGGGTTCGAATTGGTAGTGACCCCTCGGTTTTTCCGGAAGGGGGGGCGGGTGCGGGCTCGAACTGGCAGTGACCACCCCCCGATTTTCCAGAGGGGGGGAGGGGTTAGGGGAGGGGGGGGTTTTGCCGGGGGGAAGGGGGGGGGAGGGTTCAGCAGGGGGGGATTTTCGGAGAGGGGTGGGGGACCCCCGGGTTCTGGAGGAAGAGGGGGGAATTGTCCACAGTGGATCACGCTCTCTCCTTTTTGAAGGACGCCTTGGGCGGGAACGCCATTTCGAAATCGAACCCGAAAGTTTCGAAATCGTTCGAAACTGCTTTTGTTGGGGGGAAGTCCCAAGCGAAAACCACACTTTCGAAATCTCCGGTCAGAGAATTTCAAGGTTTTAAATGCTAAGCGGTGTGGCCATTTCGAAACGACTGTTTCGCTCGAGATTTCAAAAAACAATCCGAACGATTTCGAAACTTTCGGGTTCGATTTCGAAATGGCGCTCCCACCCAAGATTTCCTCCAAACTAGATTTCGAAACTCTTTTGTACCGATTTCGAAATGGCGCTCCCGCACAGGACTTCCCCCGAAACAAAATTCGGAGCCTTTCGGGTTCCATCTCGGAATGGCGCTCCCGCCCAGGACTTCCTCGAAAATATGAGTCGGCACCTCGTCAGATCGATCGCAATGGCGCTCCCGCCAAAGACGTCTCATGGTGGAAGCACGAAACGGGCCAAAATCTTCGCAACGCCAATGTAGGATTTCAAACCGCCGATGGTTGCCCGGCATCTGGTCGGTCTGGGAAGTGGCACACTCGGTCGTTGACCGATGCGTCGCCGTGGTCGTCGCGCACTTGGAGGCGCGTCCGAGTCGTTGCATCGTTCACGCAGATCGATTTGCAGTGCCCGAGGAGTAAGAGGCGGGAGAACCACTTCCGAGTTACATGAGCGCAGCGCAATGTGCAGGGCAACCATAAGCGGTCTGAAAATCCATGTGGAATATCAGCCAGCGTTGATTACATAAACAGATACGAGGACAGGGGGAGGTTGGGAGGAGGAAGAAAGGAGGACGGGAGCCGGACGGGAGGAGCAAACTCAAGCAAGCGCAAGCAAGCAAGTTGAAGCAAGAAAGCGAAGGCGAGCAATAACAACCAATCAAGAGCCAGCGATTAAGTGCAAGCACACAAGGGCAAGCGATAGCAAGCAAACGAGGGCAAGCACGCAAGATCAAGAAAGCAAGAACAAGTGAGTGTGCAAGAGCAAGCACGCAAGAGCAAGCAAGCAAATGCAAGCAAGCAAGCAAGCAAGCAAGAGCAAGCAAGCATAGGAATCCACGCGGTTCACAGGAATACGTAAGAATCCATTGGACTCGCCATTGTATGTTGCTGGGGGGCCACTGGATAGCCATCGGAATTGGGGGGGGGCATCGGAGTTAGGGGGCGGGCAACGGACCAATGAGTAGAGAACGAGATAAGATTCTTATAGGGCAAACCTGTTTGGATAATATCAAACCGCTGACGGTTTGCCTGCATTTGGTCGGTCTGGAAAGTGACGCACTCGCTCGCCGACCGATGCATCGCCGCGCACTTTGCGGCGCGTCCGAGTCGTCGCATCGTTCATGCAGATCGATTTGCAGTGCCCGAGGAGTACGAGGCGGGCGAACCACTTCCGAGCAACATGAGCGCAGCGCAGTGTGCAGGGCAACTATAGTCAGTCTTAAAGTCCACGTGGCGTTTCAAACTACCGACGGTTGCCTTGCATCTGGTCGGTCTGGAAAGAGGCGCACTCGCTCGCCGACCGGTGCGTCGCCGCCGTCGTCGCGCACTTTGCGCAATGCGCAGGGCAATCGTAAGCGGTCTGAAATTCCACTGTGGAATCTCGAACAGCCGATGGTTGCTTTGCACCAGGTCGGTCTGGAAAGTGGCACGCGCGCTCGCTGACCGATGCGTCGCCGTCGTGGTCGCGCACTGTGAGGCGCGCCCGAGTCGTCGCATCGTTCATGCAGATCGATGCGCAGCGCCCGAGGAGTGAGAGGCGGACGAACCATCTCAGAGCGACACGAGCGCAGCGCAGTGCGCAGGGCAACCATGAGCGGTTTGAAAATCCCTGTGGAATTTCACACCGCCGACAGTTGCGTTGCACGAGGTCGGTCTGGAAAGTGACGCACTCGTTCGCCGGCCGATGCGTCGCCGCCGTCGTCGCGCCCTTCGAGGCGCGTCCGAATCGTCGCATTTTTTGCGCAGAGTGGTTCGCAGTGCCCGAGAGGAATGAGATGCGGGCGAACCGTTTCTGAGTGACATGACCGCAGTGCAGTGTGCAGGGCAACCATGAGCGGTTTGAAAATCGATGTAGGATTTCAAACCGCCGGTGGTTGCTCTGCATATGTCGGTCTGGAAAGAGGCACACTCGCTCGCCGACCGGTGCGTCGCCGTCGTCGTCGCGTTTTTTGAGGCGTGTCCGCGCGAACCATTTCCGAGTGACATGAGCGCAGCGCAATGTGCAGGGCAATCATAAGTGGTCTGAAATTCCGTTGAGTTTTTTTTTTGAACCGCCGACGGTTGCCTAGCACCTGGTCGGTCTGGAAAGTGGCACGCGCGCTCGCTGACCGATGCGTCGCCGTTTTCGTCGCGCATTTTGAGGCGCGTCCGGGTCGTCGCATCGTTCGTGGAGATCGGTTTGCAGTGCCCGACGAGTGAGTGAGAGGCGGGCGAACCATTTCCGAGTGACATGAGCACAGCGTAATGTGCAGGGCAACCGCGAGCGGTCTGAAAATGCGCATGGACTTTCAAACCGCCGGCGGTTGCCTTGCATAAGGTCGGTCTGGAAAGTGGCGCGTTCGCTCGCCGGCCGATGCGTCGCCGCCGTCGTCGCGCCCCTTGAGGCGCGTCCGAGTCGTTGCATCGTCAACGCAGATCGGTTCGCAGTGCCCGCGGAGTTCGAGGCGGGCGAACCATCTCAGAGCGACACGAGCGCAGCGCAGTGTGCAGGGCAACCATGAGCGGTTTGAAAATCCATATGGAATTTCAGACCGCCGACGGTTGCATTGCGCCAGGTCGGTCTGGAAAGTGACGAACCCGCTCGCCTGCCGATGCGTCGCCGCCGTCGTCGCGCCCTTTGAGGCGCGTCCGCGCCGTCGCATCGTTAATGCAGATCGACTCGCAGCGTAGACACTCGGTCGTTGACCGATGCGTCACCGTGGTCGTCGCGCACTTGGATGCGCGTCTGAGTCGTTGCATCGTTCACGCAGATCGATTTGCAGCGCCCGAGGAGTAAGAGGCGGGCGAACCGTTTGCGAGTGACATGAGCGCAACGCAATGCGCAGGGCAACCATAACTGGTCTGAAATTCCATTTTGCCTCTACGAAAGTTTCGCCAAACCTTGCAGCGCGTTCTGTCAGGCGAGTGGGCTCCGGCACAACGCCGTCAGAGGCGTTGCGCCCGCGACGTCAAAGGGGCCCGTTAGGCCGCGGGGCTCCAGCACAACGCTCGGTTTCAACATTGTTGTGCAAAAGTCTTGGGCGGAACAGCCCTTTCGAATTCGAGCCCGATGCTTTCGAAATCCAGTCGAGGTCGCTTTTTGAAGTCAGCCTTGGGCGGGAACGCGATTTCGAAATCGAGCCAGGAAGTTGCGAAATCGTTCGGCATTGTTTGTTTGGAGGAAGTCCCCAGCGAAAATCTCACTTTCGAAATCTTTGGTCCGACAATTTATTACAAAAAACCCAGACGGCGCTGTCATTTCGAAGCGACGATCTCAAAACAAAAAAAAACGAAAGAACCGCAACGATTTCGAAATTGTCGGGTTCGATTTCCAAATGGCGCTCCCGCCCAATTCCTTCCAGACCACACGTCGAAACCCTTGTTGTACCGATTTCAAAACGGCGCTCCCGCCCAGGAACCCCCCTGGAACAAAATTCGGAGCGTTCCGTGTTCGATTTCGAAATGTCGCTCCCGCCCCGGACTTCCTCGAAAATCAAAGTCGGCATTGTTTCAGCTCGAGCTCGCCATGGCGCCCCCGCCTGAAACGTATTTTGGTGGAAGCACGAAGCGGGCCTAAACTTTCGCAGCGCCTATGTATGGAGCTACGAAACGTGTGACGGGAGCGGCGAAACATAGACATGCGAAGAGCAGAGACGATGAAAGGGGGAGAGAGAGAGGAGGGGGAGGAGGAGAGGAGAGGAGAGGACAGGAGAAATGCGGGGCGCTTTCTCTTCAAAACGTCGGCCCAACACCAAAGGATGGTCGGGAGAAATAAGAAGACGAGCGATACTAATAATAGTAATGCTAAGACTAGTAATAACAATACTAATACGGCTATTAAAACGAAAACGATTAATTATACTAATCGTAGTAATCAGACAACAGCACATAAGCTGCATATATATGAGCTGTCGGAGGTTTGGCTGGATGTCTTGGATTGGCGTTCCGCCCCTGGCGCGGTCGGGGCACCAGGGAGTGGGGTCCAGCGCCTATCCAAGAATTCTGTATTGGCTTCTGATAGTTTATGTTTACGCTTATGTAGCTGTATGCCCTCTAAAAGACGAAGGCGGCCACGACCACAGTATCAACGACGGCCATGACCACAACGACCACGACGGCCTCGTCGTCGTCGGCCTCGTCGTCGGCCCCGTTGTCGTCGTCGTCGTCGTCGTCGTCGTCGTCGTCGTCGTCGTCGTCCCCCCTCCCCCCCCAGGAGAAGGAGAAGGAAGAGGGTGATTCTGCAAAACAAGACTGAGCTCACGAGGCCGGAAAATGCGCGGGTGATGGATGTCCGAGCGATGGCAGGCATCCCGCTCCCCTGAGATCCGGGCGCTGCTCTTGTGCACAACGGGCGATCTTGCCTTGTTTCGGGCCCCAGGGCGCCCTGGCGGATCGATCCGGCTCGAGAAATGGCGCAGAAGGATGGGGTCCAGGGCCCCAGTCGTGATTCTTTAGGCCGGTTTTTTAGCACCGTCGGATCTGACGGATCTGAGGGTATGTCAGAATTTCGCGCCCCGCGCTTCCTCCGCGCTCTTCCCCTCTTCCTCCTGCTCCCTCGCGCCCTCCCCTTGGTCCACTGCCTTTCTTCGGCCCCCGCTGGGTCTCCGCAGTGCGGCAGAAAGGGCCCCGGGTACGCCTCGTTCGTCGCGGGGCTCGCGCGGACACCCCCCTCGCCTGGCCCCGTCCTCACGGATGGAGGGGAGGGCGATGGGGGGTTCTGCATCACCTGCGTCTGTTCTCTCCGTCGTCTCATCACCTCCTCCCTCGAGTTTTTCTTCGCCTCGGGGGTGCCATTCGCCCCCTGCACTTCTCCCCGCGGCCGACAGTGGCGAGAGCGGTCTACCCGCCTGCCCCTCCCCCCCCTCCCCCATCCTGCCCCTGCCTTGCGCATCCCTGCCGCGTCACCCCTTCCCCTCCTCATCCCTGCTCAGCCTGGCGAGGAGCATGGGGAGGAGGAGGAGGAGGAGGAGGAGGAGGAGGAGGACGAGGAGGAGGAGGAGGAGCACGAGGAGCACGAGGAGCACGAGGAAGAGGAGGAGGAGGAGGAGTAGCACGAGGAGGAGGAGGAGGAGGAGCACGTGGAGGAGGAGGAGGAGGAGGAGGAGGAGGAGGAGGAGGAGGAGGAGGGGTTGCCCCATGGCCCATGCGTGTCCCCGGCCCGACGTCCCCCTGCCCCTCCCCCCCTCCGCCCCCTCCCCCCCCCGCCTCCCGCAGAGGTGGAGGTGGCCACCTACCACTGCGAGGCCCGGTGGGCGGGGTCTGTGGGCAGGGCTTCTGCAGTCGGACCCGAGGTATAACGATCGAGGTCGGCTCGGGGGGAGGGTACCCTGCTCCTCCTCCTCCTCCTCCTCCTCCTTCTCCTCCTCGATCCTTGTACCTCCTCCTCCTCCTCCTCCTCCTCCTCCTCCTCCTTCTGGTGTTCTTGTGCCCTTCGTATGCGTTGGATGTTTTTGTGCATCCTGGGAGGGTACCCTTGGATGTTCTGTGTGCTTCGGCCAGCGGAGGGTCTCAGGTTCTTGAGGGGTGTTCTTCTGGCCTGGGTCCCAATGTACACGTCGGTCGTTGGAAGTAGATGTTTCAGACTCCCAGATTCCAATTCAAGGATCGAGCCGTTTTCCTTGTTCCTTCCTCTTCCGGGAGCGGGCGGAAGCCCAATCTAATTCCAACGCCTTCCTACTTCATGCTTCTGCACACTTCTTCCGACCGATGGGTATCCGTATCCGCTGCGTCTTGCAGATTCGGGCTCTTTTCCCCAGAAACCACTGGCGCAGTGGACATGGACAAATCTCTCGCCCTTGGAGGCTAGATGTTTGCTATTCATACTGATGGGCAGGATTTGTGGGCAGGGCTTGTACATGCCGGTCGTTGGAAGTAGGTATTTTTAGGTTCCCAGATCCAAATGCGCCTTTCTACTTCAAGGATCGAGCGGTTTTCCCTTTTCCTTCTTCTTCAGGGAGCGGGCGGAAGCCCAATCTAATGCCAGCGCCTTCCTACTTCATGCTTCTACCCTCTCCCTCCGACCGATGGGTATCCGTATCCGCTGCGTCTTGGAGTTGCGGGCCCCCTCCCTCAGAGACCAGAGGCGCTCCGGAAGCGGTCAAAGCTCTGGCTTCTGGAGGCTCGATGTGTTGCTCTCCGTGCCGACCGCGCCTCGGCCTCGTGGCGCGCCCCTTCTCCCGAGAGTCCAAGGCGCAGCCGCTGTGGGTGTGCACCTTGCCCGCAGGGGGAGGGCGGAGAAGACGGCGCGCGCGATCTGGTCTCTTCTGTCTGGGGCGGCGGGCGGTGATCCGGGGGCGTCAGCTAGACGCCGGCACCGACGCCCGTGCGCGTGCCTGCCCCGCCGAGCCAGGAGGGCGCCTCCGCCGATCCTGGGCCCGGGACTGGCCCGGCCAGGATCGGTGCCGGTGTGCAGGCGGCATCCTCCGGAGTGAGCGCTGCGGCGAGATGCGTCGGTTGGTGGTCTCCAAACCAGGTGGTGAGACACCCGGTGGTGACCCCGATTCCCCCCCAAAAATAATTCTGGGTCACCACCGGGTTTGGGGACACGCGGTCGCCACGAGGTTTTGCGTTTCCTGGGCCGGCCAGCGCTCGAAAACCGTTACCCAAATCGCCCCAAACTCACCACCGGGTGTTCTCACCCCCACGTTTGGGGACCACCAAGTCGGGGATGGACAGACCCCCCTTTAGTAAAACGTGGTTTAGTGAAGACGACCTGAGGCCCAAACCTGGCGGGCGCAAGCCTGGAAAGTGACGGCCACGGCGCCCTCTCGAGAACCGAAAACGGACAATTCACTAACTAATCGACGTGTCACTGTTGGGGGTTCTGTCCACCCCCGAATGCGGCGGCGCTCGGGCCTTCCCAAGAACCGAGCAAGACAGACCACCGCACCTGAGCCTCAGCTTGCGGCTGTCCGCGCGGACGTCTTGCATCGGCGCCGCCGGGGGGTGGGGCCCTGCGCCGATGCAGGGCGTCCGCGCGGACCTCCCACTCCTCCCGTGGTTCTGCAGGCCTCTTGCCGGAGGCCTCGGGGGAGCGCCTTCCGGGGGTGCCTCTCGGAGAGCCGGGTGGGCTTCCGGGAGACCGCCCGCGGCCGCTCGTGGCAGGCCGCCCCACCCCGGGGGTGGCTAAAGGTGCCCCCGGCCCCAAGGTGCCCCCAGCTTTTCGCTCCGTTCGGGGCTCCCCTGGGGCTCCCCTGGGGCTCGTGAGGGGCGCTCATGGAGGCCGCGGGGGCCTCCTTGGAACCCCTGGGGGGACCCTGGGCCCGGGGCCACTTCCAGCAACGCCCGACCATCCCTCGCCCCGCCCCTCCCCTGGCTGGCGCGCCGCGGCGAGGCTCTCCGGGGAACTGCCGGCCTCGGTGGGGGGGGGCAGCGCGGGGGGGGATCGCCCCAGGGGGGGGGGGGGAATGCGTCCACACCGCTGGGCGCCGAGGGGTGTGCGATGGCCCGCCCCGCCCAGGAGCGCGCGGCCTCGCCATCGGGGGCCCGTCGCCGATCCATCGGCGATGCGTCGCCGAGCGGAGCTCGCTGTCTCACCCCCCCTCGGCCCATGACCTGCGAGAGGGGGCGGGGGAACGCAGGGAAGGCGGCCACTGGAGCCGCCCCGAGTCCGTCATGCGCGAAGTGTGCCTTGCCGTCCTTTGTTCGTGGTCGTCGACCCCCCCCCTCCTCCTCCTCCTCCTCCTCCTCCTCCTCCTCCTCCTCCTCCTCCTCCTCCTCCTCCTCCTCCTCCTCCTCCTCCTCCTCCTCCTCTCTCCTCCTCCTCCCCTCCTCTCTCCTCCTCCTCCCTCCTTCCTCCTCCTCCTCCGCCCTCCTCCTCCTCCTCCTCCTCGTCCTCCCCTCCTCTCCCCTCCTCCTCCTCCTCCTCCTCCTCCTCCCCCTCCCCCTTCCATCCCCTCCCCTTTCCTCTCCTCCTCGTTCTCCTCCTCCTCGTCCTCCTCCTCCCCCTCCCCTCCATCCCCTCCCCTTTCCTCCTCCTCCTCCTCCTCCTCCTCCTCCTCCTCCTCTTCCTCCTCCTCCTCCTCCTCGTCCACCGACCTCGAGATTCGCTGGTCATGTCACTATCTCTGTTGCCCTCGAGGAAGCAGCCTGCCCCCCCAGGATCCCAGGCTGACCTTGAGGAATGCTGCTGACCTCCCTCCGCGTTGAGGAGGGCGAGCGTCCCCTGGTGGCGCCTCCTCGTCAAGGAAAAGGATGCGATTCTGACGAATCTTCTACTTTGAGGGGCAGGCCTCGCTCAGCCTTTGGCCTGGCGGAGCCTCACTTTTTTCCGTTGTCCTTCTTCGCGTATTGCTCGTGGTTTGGTCACTGCCACGGGTAGTACCGAAAGCCTGCTGGTTGGTGGGCTAGCCGTTCAGGACTCCGGTTCCCGCTTGTGGCGAGGAAGCCACGATGCGGGCCGCACCTCCGTCCCCACGACATCGGACTGCTGGCTCGCCCATGTCCTTTTCCTCGTTCTGCGCGCCTCCTCGGGCGCTGCGGGCGGGGAGGAACCTCGTGCCCTCCCGCAGTGTTTGGTGGTCGGGTCTGCCCCCCGCAGGCCCAGCCGCACCCTGCGGCTGCTGCAGAGGGCTGCAGTTCGCCCTGCAGCTGCACGCAGTCTCGGACCCTCGCCGCAGTCCTGACTCTGCTCTGGCGAGGCTCTCTCCTCGCCCCTCGTTCGCTGCAGCTGGAGCCCCGCGGGCAAGCAACAATCCCCCTCCTCCTCCTCCTCCTCCTCCTCCTCCTCCTCCTCCTCCTCCTCCTCCTCCTCCTCCTCCTCTGTCTCCGCCTTCTCCGCCATCGTCCTCCGCCTCCGCCCTCCTCTCCTACTTCACCGCCTCCTCCCTGTCCGCAGTATCCTTCCCTGGTCTTTCTTACCTCTCCTGCTGCTCTTCCGCGTTCCCATCCCGCTCGACATCCGTCCTCCGTCCCCTCCTGCTGATCAATAAAGAATTCAACGATGACATAAACATGACAACTCGGAGGTCCGCTCAGATTTGTTGGATCGGCGCGCCTGGGGCGGCGCCGGAGGCGCCGCTGGGGGGCTCAGCGCCGATCCGAAGACTTCGCGCGGACCTCAGATTTCTTTGATGTTTATGTTTTTGTTTGTTCCTCTATTCCACCCCTCCGCACTCTCCTCGTCATTCCCTTCCTCCGCCTCCATTCTGCTCTTCCTCTGCCTCCTCTTCCTCTCCTCCCCCTCCCGCTCCGCCTCGTCCCTTTCCCGCTCCCCCTGGAGACCTGGGACCCCGCAGAAGCCCATAGAGCCCACCAGAGCCTCCTCACATCGCCCGGAACCTCAATCTGAATACCGCGCTCCTCTCTCCCCTGGAGCTGTCTGGGGCCCGGCGCCGCCCTCTCCGGCGCATCGCCTTCCACACACAGGGCTTCGCTGTGTGGTGCTTCCTGCTTTGTGCTGCGCTTCGACTGCCTTCCGTCGTTCCAGACGGTGCTCTCGCGCTGCAGCGCGGGCCTCGTTTTCGGAGCGGTGCTCTGCTCCCGTCGGTTGCAACCGTGCTCTCGCCCTGGCGTGGGCTGCTTCTCCGGGCCCCGCCGGTCTCGCGGGTCCTGCGGGCCCCACGGGTCCCGCGGGTACCACGGGCACCACAGCGGCCCAAAGGCGTCGCAGGTCGTCCCACGGGTCCCACAGGTGCCCCAGGCGTCACGAAGGTCGCGGGTCCCACAGATCCGAGAGGTCCCACGGGTCCGACAGGTCCCACATGCGTCGCAGGTCTCACAGGTCCCGCAGAGGTCCTCCAGGTCCCGCACGTTCCACAGGTCCCGCCGGTCCCGCAGTTACCACAGGTCTGCAGGCTCCACAGGTCCCATGGGTCCCACAGGTCCCACAGGTCTCATAGATTCCACAGGTCCCACAGGTTTCGCGGGTCTCACATGCACATCAGGCCACAGAGGTCCCACAGGCCCCGCAGGTTCCACAGGTCCCACGGGTCCCACAAGTCCCACCTGCCCCCAAGGTCCAGCAAGTCCCACAGGTCCCACAGGCCACAGAGAAATCAATCAGCACAATGGGAAGGGATGGGAGGGAGGGATAGAATGTCTGATGTGGCGCGAGCGCACCTGGCTTGCCTCTCCCTCTCCCTCTCTCTCTCTCTCGCTCTCTCCCTCTCTTCGTCCTCCTGCCCCTTCCCTCCGAGCTCTCCGCAGGTTCCAGGAGGCCTCCAGAGGCCTCCAGGAGGCCCCAGCAAGAACCACGAGCGTCAGACGCACAGGAGCGACGCAAAACAACGGGATCGTCTGCGCCGACAATGGCGCGTAAGCTCCCCGCGTAAGGTCGCGATGCGCGTAAGCTTCCTCGTCTCTGATGTAGCGTGCCGCGCTGGCGGCCCGCGTAAGCCGCCGTGCAAGGTCGCGACGCCATCTCGCGCAAGACACGTTTTGGATCGTCGCTCACACGTCTTTTCGAACCCAGAAGGGCTGAAACCGACGAGTCGTGGTTGGCTCTCCTGCCCTTTGCCCTTCCTTCCGTGGGAGGAGCCGGGAGAGCCCACGAAATGTCCCGGTGGTCCATCTTGGCGGGGTCTTTCAATCCAGAGCGTTTTTCGTCGCTCCCAGGGCCCGCAGCGGGCCCCTGGAGAGGACAGCGTATGGCCAGAAACCACAACTCCTCCTCGTCGTCGTCTTCGTCGTCGTCTTCATCATCGTCGTCATCATCAGCATCGTCATCATCATCATCATCATCATCATCATCATCATCATCATCATCATCATCATCATCATCATCATCATCATCATCATCATCATCATCATCATCATCATCATCATCATCATCATCATCATCATCATCATCATCATCATCATCGACATCGTCATCGTCATCGTCAATCGGTCAATCGTCATCGTCATCGTCATCATCGTCATCGTCCATCGTCATCGTCATCAGCATCGTCATCAGCATCCACATCAGCATCACATCAGCAACACAACAGCATCAGCATCACATCAGCATCAGCATCAGCATCAGCATCATCAGCATCGTCATCGTCATCGTCATCGTCATCATCATCAGCATCGTCATCGTCATCGTCATCGTCATCATCATCATCATCATCATCATCATCATCATCATCATCATCATCATCATCATCATCATCATCATCATCATCATCATCCATTCAAGCAGGCTTAGAACATCGCCTCAGAGCGCGCTTGAACAGTCCCGAAGCCCTCCAGAGCGCCCTGGAGCATCTGCGGAACCCGACGTGTCCCACGAGCCTGCCGGCCCTCCGAGGTTGCCGACGTGCCTCGCCCCCCTGTTGCCTTCGTCCTGGCCTCGCCCTGCCCTCCTCGTCCCGCCCCTCCCCATCCCCAGCACTCCCACGCCGTGCTCGGCTTCGCCACCTCGACCCCCCGTGGTCTGGACCCCCTCGCCGGGGCCGGTGGTTTTTCCCGAGGGGCCTGGCGAGGGCCCCCTGCCGGAGGCCGAGCGCGGGCCGCGCTCGCCCGCCGCGAGTCCTGCTCCGGGCGCGGGGCGGTCCTGGGCCCCTCCGCCGGGGAGGAGGCGCGCGCGGGGGGGGGGGTGGGGGCCCGCCGCCGAGGTCTGCGACGCCGAGATCTTCCAGACCGTGGAGTCGGACCGCTACACGCCGCCCACCGAGTGCCCTTCGGAGAGGCGGCGCCCCGCGGGGCGGCGGCGGCGTCGGCCCATGCAGGGGGTCGCCGCCGCTGGCGCCGTCGTCGGCGCTGGCGGCGCTGGCGGCGGGGTCGGCCGGCGTGGGCGTCGCCGCCGCCGCCGCCGCTGTCAGCGTTGGTGGCAGGGTCGTCGCCGCCGCCGTCGCTGGCGGGGGTGACTGAGGTCGTCGTCGTCCTCGTCGTCGTCCTCGTCCTCGTCTTCGTCGTCGTCGTCGTCGTCGTCGTCGTCGTCGTCGTCGTCGTCGTCGTCGTCGTCGTCGTCGTCGTCGTTTCCTTCCCCCTGCTCCATCTCCGTGTTGTGTTTCTCGACCTCCCCGTTCTCCTCCACCACCCCCCTCCGTCACTGATTCTCCTCCCTCGTCCTTCTCCTCGCCCTGATGTCTTCTCCCTGAGAGTCCCCCCTCCTCCATCCTCCCCCGCCGATCTCTCCGGCACGCGAGGCTCTCGTTCAGCTTCTTCCACGTCGAGCTCTTGCCGGGGCTTTCCTCCAGGGGTTGTTCGCCCCTTGGGCGGCTCCCTGATGCCTGTGTCTCGGGGGAGAAGCAGCGGCATAAACAGAAAGTTTCGGAGGTCCGCGCAGATTTCTCGGATGGGCGCTGGACCCCCCTCCCTGGGATGCGGATCGCGCCGGGGGCGGCGTCGGAGGCCAGGGGGCCCCCAGCGCCGATCCGAGAAAGCCGCGCGAGTCTCCGAAAGTTCACGAATACGTTCTCCTTTGTTCCTCTGGCCTGCGTTTCTGTGCCCCCATCCCTCTCGGCGGCGATGGAGTGCACCACGTAGATTGCACCACACAGATTGCACCACGCAGACTGCTCCACATCGACTGCACCGCGGAGACTGCTGGGCCCACACCTTTCGGGGCCCGTGCTGGCCGACATGCTGCCTTTTGCCTCTCTGTGCGCCCCCCTCGGCGGCAGAGGTGCAAGCAGAACCGCCAGACCGGCAAGCTGCGCTGCAACGTCCGGACTTGCCAGTTCGGCAAGCACCAGGAGAGGGCGGCCCCCCCCCGCCGCGCATCGGCGCAGCGCCCGGGTGGCGTACGGAGGGGGCTGGATGGGGGGCGGGAAGAGAGGGGGGAGAGAACGGGAGGAGGAGGAGGAGGAGGAGGAGGAGGAGGAGGGGGAGGAGGAGGAGCAGGAGCAGGAGCAGGAGGAGGAGGAGGAGGAGGAGGAGGAGGCACGGGGGGAAAGGGGGGAAATGATTGGATGGGGAGGGGGGGAGTGTGGCATAGCCGGATATATTGACAGCGGGGTGACGGAACTAAAGGGACAGCGGGGGGGGGGCTGTTGGGAGGGAGCTGGAGGACAGGCAGGAAGGACGGGTGGATGGCAGGGCAGGGCGGCCAGCGGCTCGGGCTCTCCCCTGCGTCAGTGGTATCTGCTGGCTTGGACTCATGCAGCGGGCACCGTCCCTTCCCCTCGTTGAACTTTCGTTGCTGAAGAATAAGTATTGTTGATCTGGGGCTCGCACCCTGTTTTTCAGCAAGGAAAGTCACTGGGCTCAAACTGTGCTGTTGGCCCCCGGATGACAACAATCAACAACGACTCCCGCCTGAGACTTCCTCACAATTTAGCCATGACCCCCGCTCCCGCCTCAGATTTCCTCGCAATGTATTGAGGGATCGCACTCTCGCTTGGGACTTCCTTAATTATAGTTAGTGCAAGAATCGCTCTCTCGGCGACCTGGAGTCGCGCTCTGGTTGGGGACTTGCTTGCATTTTATTCAAGAATCGCGCTCCTGCGTTGGAATTCCCCGCAATTTACTCAAGCGCCGCGCTCCCGACATTCAGGCACCCAGCACTCGCGCTCACGCTTAGGTCTCCCTCGCAGCTGATTCAGGAATCGGGATCTCGCTGCACGTCATGGCCCCGTTGCAGCCCTTCGTGGCCCCCTCGCTGCCCTTCTTGGCCCCGTTGCAGCCCTTCGTGGCCCCCTCGCTGCCCTTCGCGACGCTGTTGCAGCCCGTCGTGGCCCCCTCGCTGCCCGTCGTGGCCCCGTTGCAGCCCGTCGTGGCCCCCTCGCTGCCCGTCGCGGCCCCGTTGCACCCCTTCGTGGTCCCTTCGCTGCCCGTCGCGGCCCCGTTGCAGCCCTTCGTGGCCCACTCGCTGCCCGTCGTGGCCCCATATATGTATGCCCTTCGTGGCCCCCGCTCTTTCGCGCCCGTCCTGGCCCCATATGCATGCGCTTCGTGGCTCCGCCTTCGCCCTTCGCGGCCCCCTCGCTGCCCTTCGTGGCCCCGTTGCTGCCCTCAGCGGCCCCGTCCGTGCCCTCTGCAGCCCAACACACGCATGCCCTTCGTGGCCCCAGCTCGGGCGCTCCCGTCGTGGCCCCATATGCATGCCCTTCGTGCCCCCGTTGCACCCCTTTGTGGCCCCCATCGCTGTCCTACGGGGCCCCGTTGCTACCCTCAGTGGCCCCGTCGTTGCCCCCTGGCCCCGCATGATCCGCCCTTCGTGGCCCCCGCTCGTTCGCGCCCTTCGTGGCCCCATACGCATGCCCTTCGTGGCCCCGCTGTCGCCCTTCGTGGCCCCCTTCCTGCCCTTTGTGGCCCCGCTGTCGCTCTCGCTTTCGCTCGTCGTCGTCGTTGTCGTCGTCGTCGTCGTCGTCGTCGTCGTCGTCGTCGTCGTGGTCGGTCCCCTGTCCGTCCCTCTTGGGGTCGGGTTGCCGGTGATCAGCGCTGCTGCTGGCCAGGCCGACGGTCCGCGGCCGCCCCGCCGCTCGCCGGGGCCCGGCCTGCAGGGAAGACACATATACCCCCAAGAGGGGTACGATCGAAGACGAAGAGGGCGGGTATCGAGGGTTTGGGAAATACACGCCGAATGACACTTGAGCAGACAAGAGCGAACAGTCTTAAAACGATAGTGGTTGTCGTCGTCGTCGTCGTCGTCGTCGTCGTCTCTCCCGACTCCTCTCTCTCTCTCCGATCTCGCTCCCCTCATTTCCCCCCGCCGCCATTTCTTCCCTTGCATGTCCCTTCCCTCCCCCGGCCTCCCCATTTCCCCACCCCCTCCCCCTGCCGCATCCCTTCTCTGCCAGGGAATCAGAGGACCTGGCGCTGACCGCTTGGCTCGATGGGCTCGGACGGGTGGGGTGCGGGGTGGCCCACTGCATTGCGCCGGGCGCGCCGTTTCGTTCCGCATCGGCCTCGGGAGCGCCTGGGGATGGGAGGAGGCAGGGAGGGAGAGGGATGGACGGGGGTGAGGCCAGGGGAGGGAGAATCGGTGGCGGGAGCGACGGGAAGAGGAGGGAGAGAGGAGGCAGGGAGGGAGAGGGAGGAGGGAGGGAGAGGGATGGACGGGGGGGAGGGAGGCGGAGGGCGAGGGAGGGACGGAGGGCTTGAACCAAGGGGGGGGGCGGGACGGGGAGCTGGTCGGGAGCGAGCGGCCAATGTGGGGGGGGGGGGTGGAAGGGAAGATGAAGACGGAGAGGGAAGCGAGGGAGCGAGGCACAAAACGGGGGACGCGAGGGAACGAGCCAGGGGAGGTGGAGATGGAGATGGAGATTCGGGGGAGGAAGATGGAGGGACGGGAAGACTAGGGAGCGAGGCAGGGAGGGCTGCCCCCCTCCCCCCCAACCCACCCCCGGCACCGCCTCTGCGGCCTCCCGCCCCGGGCGCTGCCGCGGCGGCCACCAGGAGATGAAGGTCCAGGAGATGTCCGAGCACGTCCCCGTCGGCCGTGTGCCGAGGCGGGCGGGGGGTGTCGACTGCACGTCAGAGTGACCCTTCGCTGGAGTGACCTTCGGTGCGGGCCCATTGGGGCCCCCCGATCGCCGAACGCGATGCGATAGTAGCGCCTTGCGCGCTTGTGTTTGGTCCCCCCGCGGCCCCCCAAGAAGCCGCGCACCAAAGGTAACTCTTACCCAGGGTCACTCCTTGCGTGTCGCCGAAGGTGGGCGCCGCTTGGTAGCTGTTTTTGTATGGTTTGTGTTGCCGGTGCGCGGGTCGCCACCTCCTGCCTGACGACGAGGATCCTCCCTTCCCCGGGCCAGCGCGCATCAGCGCCCCAGACCCTTCAATGAAGCCACCGACTCCTGCCTATCCGAGACGCGTTGCCTGGAGGAGGAGGGGAATGGGAGGAGGAGGAGGAGGAGGAGGAGGAGGAGGAGGAGGAGAAGGACGAGGAGGAGGTCCCTCGCCCCCACAGACCGGATCTTGGCCGCCTTTGGCGGCCGGTCAGGCCACCCCCCCTCTCCCCTAGTCTGCTGGAGAGAAGGGCAGATGCAGAGCGACGAAGCACCGGCCGGGACCCAGGACCCACCCCCCTGCGGGGGTCAAGAGACGGGGGTCAATGTCGGAGGTTGATGGACCTCCTACCCTGACACGTCGATTAGGGAATTGGCCGTTTTCGGTTCCCGAGAGGGCGTCGCGGAGGTCATTTCTGCGGGTCCAGGTCCGTCGGTTTCGGTCCCAGGCCGTTTTCACTAAGGGGAGGTTTACTAAAGGGAGGTTTGTTCACCGCCGACAATGCGAACGGGGGTCGGTCAGAGCGCCGGATCCTGCAGGATCCTGCAGAGAAGTGCACTGACCCAGACGTGGGTGCAGGTTCTAGGATGCCGACGTTCTGCATAACAAAACCCACTTTTGCAGGATCTTGCAGGACCCCCATCCGTCGGCCTGACGCCAAAACTCGGCACAAGAGAACGCCTGCGAGGCGGGCGGGGGAGTGGGCGCCGCTCGCCGCCGAGAGGTGTCGGCCGCGGTTCCTCGACGCTCCCTTGTGCCTTGGCATCGCTCGGACGTGTGCGTGTGTTCTCTCGGCAGGAACCATCGAGTAGCACTTGGGGCTTAATTAATAATCGCCCCCCCCCCCCTCCCCCTTGGAGTGCCCTGGGGGGTTGGCCGCGGCGCGTCCGCGGGGGTCTCGTTCCCTTGGCCGCGCCGCGTTTTCACGTTCTTCCCCCCCCGGTGGACGACTACGAAGTTCGGAGCGCGCGCACGAAGGGCCGCAGAGCGCGCGAGGAGTGGGCACCCGAGCGAGGGCGGGGTGCCCGCCCGTCGCGGCATCCCCGCCTCTCCTCCTCTACAGTAGGGGTCCTGAAGAAGGAACCCTTTTCGTTGGGGAGGGGCTCCGCGTTTCTTAAGTGTTTCACAGCTTGCCTCGGGTTTTCCTGATGTTTTCGATGGGGAATCGAGGTTTAACTTATGGGAAAGGAGGGGCCTCGTTCCTTATTTAGGGTTCCTTAGGTCAACGCCCCGGCTGTACCGTCGGATCTGGCCGGGACCCCGGTCGAGGGGAGCTGGTTTGTGATGGGGGCCCGAAGCCCAGAACGTGGGCCAGAAGCATTAAAGCAAGTCTGCCGTGGCTGGTGTTTCCTCGGGAGGCGGCAGTTCCGGTGAATTAGCGGAAGGGGGCGGGGGAGGGGCGTCTTTCGGTACACATCACTGAGCCAGGTCCCACCGAACCCAGTCCCGCCAATGCCCGATCTAGGTCTCCCGTATGGGGTCCGAGCAGGTGGTGTCGGAGGATCGCGCCTGATCGCCGATGCATCACCGATGAGGTTCGATGTGGAACCCGATGTTCTCCACGCCGGCGTCGTCGACGCATCGCCCACGCCGCCGATGCGTCGCCGATGTACCAGCGATGCGGTGCCCTCCGCCGATTTCCATGCGGTGCGTGTTCGCCTCTTGTTCCGTTCCCGCCTGTGTCTCATCGTTCCTCCAATTCGATGGCGCCTCCTCCTCCTCCTCCTCCTCCTGGGGGTGGAGGAGGAGGAGGAGGAGGAGGAGGAGGAGGAGGAGGAGGCACAGGCGAGAACGTGTCGTCTCGTCCTCTCCGGTGCGATGGCTGCTTCACACTTTGGCTCCCGGCGCGTCCCGCCGGTTGCCCGACTGGCGCCATGCGCCTGCTTCGGCTCGCTTGCGCCCGCGAGTTGGTAAACAGCGCGATGAGAGTGCGCCACTCGTCCTCCTCCATCGAAGGATTGCAAAAAACCCCGGATTTTTTTGCAATCCAGGGTTTTTTTGCAATCCTTGGGTTTTTTTGCAATCCTTCTTT